CTCGGCTGCAGGATCTCGGCTGGATCTCGGTTGGATCTCGGCTGGCCCTCACCTCGGCTTGATCTCGCAAGGGCTGCGGCTCTCTCACTGCCTAGGACGTGTCTAGGACGTGTCTAGGAAGTGTCTGGGACGTGTCTAGGACGTGTCTAGGACGTGTCTGGGAAGTGTCTAGGACGTGTCTGGGAAGTGTCTGGGACGTGTCTGGGAAGTGTCTAGGACGTGTCGAGCAAGTCTCGCCGGATCATCGTGGCGATGTACTGGTTGATGAGGAGGACGGCGATGTCGGAGCGGGATGTGAAGCGGGTGAAGGCCTCCTCGATCTGGGGGGAGGAGGAGAGGGGGGGGGCGGGGTGCGAGGGGAGGGGAGGGGGGGGAAAGGAGCGGGGGAGGGAGGGGGAGGAGGGGAGGAGGGGAGGAGGGCTCAGTCGCGAGTGGCGAGGGTGGCGGCGGCGAGGGTGGCGGCGGCGAGGGAGGGTGTGGCGAGGGGCGGTGGGCTTGGCGGCGGTGGCGAGGGCGGAGGGGGCGAGGGCGGCGGCGAGGGTGGCGGAGGGGTGGGCAGTGGCGGGCTGGGTGGAGCGGCTGGTGGGTCGGGGCGCAAGGGCGCGCGGTGGAGAGAGGCTGCTGCGCTCGCCTGCCCCGGGGAGGTCTTGGAGTCGACGATGACGAAGTTGGACGCCTTGCGCGCGTCGACTGCCGCGGCGGGGAGAGGGCCGCTCGGTCGGAAGGCGGAGAGCGGGCGAGGGCTCCAGCCCAAAGAGGCTGTGTGAGCACGCTGCCGGCCCCACAAATTCCCGAGAGAGGAAGGCGCCAGTGCAGCGCCAGGGCGTGCGGCGCGCGGCGCGGCGGCATGCATGTACGTGCAAGGGGCGCGCACTGTTTCCGACGCCGGCGAGGAGCATCCCGGTGACAGTGTCCTCGTCGCCGATGACGGCGATGAGGGCGTCGTGCAGCTCGAGGTTCTTCTTGGCCTGGGGAGGGCGGGCGGGAGGACAGTTGGGCGTGGCGTTGCGGACGGGCGGCCCCGGGTGGGCGCTTGCACCATGTGTGTTGTATCGCACAAGACACAGCTGGGGATTCCGGTGCTTTTCCGGGTAGGGGAAAGTTCATTCGAGGGGAAAGTTTTTGCGAGCTGGGGATTCCGGGTTGCTCTGGCTCGCAAAAACTCACGCAATAATTGTCATCACCCGTGAGTGCGAGTTAGGGCTAGCAGGCAGCTAGCCTCTGAGGAGGGTGGCGTCCATAGACACCTCACTAGACCCCACACACGGTCTCGTCCGTGCCTCGCCGCGGGCGGCGTGATTGCTAGAGGCGGAGCAAGCCTGCTCTAGCCTCGCATGTTACTTGCTGTCGTCTGTTGTTTGTTGTGCCCTTGTTTGTTCCTTTGGCACCTTGATCCTTGTGGAGTGCGGGGGGGGGGCGGCGACAGGGAGGGAGGATGTGGCCCTGAGTTATGTGTACGCCAACTCAGGGTGTGTGGCAGCCACGCTGGCTGTGTGTCTTGTGAGCTTGTTTTGTGTCTGTGTGTCGCTCGTGCGTGTCGTCATCATCTGCCCCGCGTCCACCCATAACGCGCTGGTGTCCAGTCCGAGCCTGACTGACTGTTCTTCACCTTTCTACCTAACCTAACCTGTTAGATCTATTCTCCCCCCCCCCCCCCCCCCAATGTTACCCCCCCCCCCCTTAAAAATCAAACCCCATTCCCCCAAAAAACAACCCTTGTTCCCTTCCCCCAGCTAAATACCCGCCATCCCCCGCATGTGTGCGTGAATGAGTATTCCCCACACACAAACGTAGAGAGCGGCAGTGCAAAACATTAAAGAAATCACGCGCGTAGGGCCACCGTGAAGGTACATGTACAACTGTACCGGGCCGTGATGAACAGTTGCAACAGAGTACGTCCTCGTGTGTCCGAGCATTCGTCCCAGCGCGAGCGTCCCAGCGCTGTCCGCCATGGGCGGTTGCCTCACCAGCCGCATCGACGGCAGCGGCGACGGCATCGACATCTCCAACTGCCGTGCAATCCGCGTGACCCGTCTCTCCCTCTACACCTCGGACGGACGGCTCATGGATGGCGAATCGGCAATCCAGGCGCTCCACAAAAGCCTGCACATGCTGAATGACGACGCCGCGCCGGTCGGCACCGGCCACCTCGAGACTACCATCTACTCCACCTCCAACGAGGACGCCGGCATACACAACTCGTGGCTCGTAATATACTCGTCCTACTCGGACCGCATCGAGCGCGGCAAGCGGGACAAAATCGAGCGTAAGCTGCTCGCGACGGTGCACCAACATGGCCATGCGCCCGGCGAGACGGCAAAGGGACAGCCCTCGCAAGCCAGCACCGAGGAGCATGTCATCCTCTCGGAGATGATTGGCCACGTTGTGTGGCAGCTCTCGGACCTGACCGAGCTAGGCGACGGGCCCTGGCCGTCGGGCTACGTCAGAATACGCATCAAGCCATCTGAGGCGCACATTCTGCGTACTGAGTCCTGCACCTTGACATGCTGTGGGACTGCCATATGGGGATCGGCCCTTCACCATGCATCTTGATCGTCTACCCTCTCGTTGGCTCCGTAGGTCAAGGCACTGTACGAGCACGTGCGCTCATCCGCCTTTGAGCAGGCGGTGAAGGGGTTTCACGACCTGGTGGACTCGCACAGTCCTGCCGGGCCGTGATCAGCATGTGTACATCGCAAGTTGTGTGAACAGGTCGACATCGCGCTTATCATCGGCAGCCGGCTGTCCAAGCGATGCCATCCGACGAGAAACCACTTCGCCATCTAGAGCGTCTCTTCACATATCTGTCTTGCAAACAGGGAATACATTCAGACAGAGTCTGAAATGGGACCGTGCTGGGCGGCGCTCTGCTCCGGCGGCCTGTGCTCGCCCTTCCGCGACGCAACCTTGCACTTCCGCATCAGTCCGAAGGATCGATACACCAAACCCCGGCCCATTGCGAAGGGCGACCCCTCATGCCGCAACGAATTTGATTAGGAGCGCGACACCTTCAGCAAGGTGATTGACATTGAGGTTGTCGGCCAGAAGCTCCTCGAGCTGCTTGTGCAGGGCGTGAGCAAGAGTGGCACCCTGGAGCCAGCGGAGCTGCACACGGGCGAGCCGTAGCAGTGATCGCCGCGATATCTTTCCGAGATCCACTCTTGTTCATCCATGGCCATGACGCGTCTGTACAATCATAGGCGAGATCCACTTCTCGTACCATGGTCGTCCCGCCGACGGAGAGGTGTACGCGACGGACTGTGTTATGGCCCACCGGCGACTGCACAAAGCGCCGCTCGTCAATGAGGCGACGCCCTTCGTCAAGACGCTGCACAAGAGCAACAACGACCTCCTTCAGCTGGAGGCGTCACAGCTCCGCCAACCCATCCGATGGCAATGGCGTGCAATCACAGCCTTAGCTTGCCGTGCCCTGCCCTGATGGGCTGTAGGTACTCGAAATCCAAGAGGAGATGCGCAGGAAGAAGGAGGTGCTGGAGGCCCTCAAGCCCAGCGAGCCAAACTCGAGCAGCGAGAGAAGCACCATACGGTCCAGCCCGTCAGCGCCGTCGCTGCTGGACATCCTCTCGAGAGCAAATAGTGGACACGTGCAGTGATCTCTGTAGTAGGTTTAGTATTTGAAGTGCGTGTTTTTTTTGTGAGAGCGCCTTCGTTGTTAATAGTACAAACCCAATGGTCCTCTGCGAGCGGTCCTTCGTTGCAGTCGCACACACGCACACGCCACGCCGCACCGCGCGCCTGCCCACCGCCCCGCCCAGGCGGGAAAGAGATGAGGAGATGGGACAGCAAAGGAGGAAGCACAGGCACGTATGGGAGGGTTCAGTAATGCGCCACGCTGCCCGGCGTCTCTCACTTTCCGGGACAGCCCCGCCCTTGTGAGGCAGGAAAGTGACGGCTACCCCGTACGCCCTGCGGCCTGCTACTCCGACGCCGACCGCGCATTCCCCCCTCCTCGTTCCCGCCTCGAAAAAAAAGAAAGAAAGAAGACAGACAACCCAAGGGAGGGATGGGAGGCTCCGTTTTTTTGTCGCTTTTCGTTTTTTCCCCTGCAGCACCAAGAGCCTCTCACGCACTGGAGAGCGCGACGGAATGCTCCGCACCCTGGTCTTCGCCGGCATCGCCCTTCAGGGCTTGATGTTTGTGGGCGTCCCGGTCTTCCACATGCTTACCGGTGAGCTTCCGGGCCCGATCAAGGACGAGCCGGACCCGCTCAAACAGTGGATCAACGCGCAGATTTTCAACAACTCGGAGCTCACGCAGGAGATGCTGTACTCCTTCTGGGTGCTGCAGTGGCTGTGCATGGTATCGCTCACAGCTGCGCCGCGCATCCATCGCGTGCTCCCGAGCACTTGGATGGTCTTCTACTACTTCTACGTGGCCGGGGTCGAGGAGAAGCGCATGTCCGAGGCGGCCGTGCCAGGACGGTACCCAGTCGAAAACTGGGTCATTCACGGCATCTTCGCGCTCGTGTGGGTCGGCATCGTCGCGCTCCCGGAGCCGGGAAGCGGCAAAAAGAAGAAGGCGTGAGCGGTAGGCGGCTCAGTCCTCACGCAGACCGCCAGACCAAGTGTGTGTATTTCTACAGGCAGTTTGGAGACTCATGCTTGCACCAATCCCTGACCTTGTCTCGTGGGGCAGATCCAGTGGGGCAGGCCGAGAGAGAGAGAGAGAGAGAGAGAGAGAGAGAGAGAGAGAGAGAGAGAGAGAGAGAGAGAGAGAGAGAGAGAGAGAGAGAGAGAGAGAGAGAGAGAGAGAGAGAGTAGAGAGAGAGAGAGAGAGGTATCTTGACCAGTGACCACTTGATGAGGAGATCTGGCATCAGGGCGTACGGGGTAAGGGTGGTAATGTAGCCGTCAATTCGAGCCCGTCACTTTCGCTGCCTCGCAACAGGGCGGGCTGTCCCGGAAAGTGAGAAACGCCGGGGTGCGTGGCGCATCTACTTGGGGTACCGGGAGAAAAGCGCAGGCCCTCGGTGGCAGAAAGAACGACAGAAGGTAGGTAGGTAGTAAGGTGAAGAACAGCCAGGCTCGGACTGGACACCAACGCGGTATGGGTGGACGCTGGACAGATGATGACGACACGCACGAGCGACACACAGACACAAACAAGCTCACAAGACACACAGCCAGCTGGCTGCCACACACCCTGAGTCGGCGTACACATAACTACAAGCCGGCCGCCCTTGTGTTTTTCTTCTGTGTTGCACCCCCCTGCCGATGGCCGGATGCATTTGTGGCGCGTGCGTGGTGTCGTCGGCGTGAAAAATTGGGTGTTTGACTCATGAGCAGCAAGCTGCCGTCGCTTCACGTGAAGGCACTATGCTCACGCCGCGCCGGAAAGGACGAAAGTGGACGCAACTTTGAGCGGGACTCTCACGAAGCAGTGCAAATCTCAGAGCTCGGAATGGTCGGCTCAGAGGACTGGGCGCTGCGGAACCAAGACACTCTTGGCGAGGAGAACGTCCGAGCGCGAGCGCTCCTCCTGCAGCTCGAGGCGCACAACGATGCCGTCCTCGCGATGGATGAAGGCCGTCTTCGCCATCCTCTGCCGCTCTCGATTGCCGCCGGCGCGTGGGGCGAAAACGTGCTTCTGAAAGGAACGGACAGCGAGGGACGGCCGTTGGACGCGGCTGCGATCTGCATCGGCGATATTCTCGAGGCCACTCGAGGCTCGCTCCGGCTGGAGGTCACCTGCCCTCGTCGGCCATGCTGCAAGGTGGACCAGCAGTTTGGCCAGACGTGGAGAGGTGCAGGCGTTCGCGCTCACACCGCTCGGAACGGCATGGCCGGCTTCTTTTGCCGTGTCCTCAAGCCCGGCCGGTTGGCCGCTGGGGACGAGCTGCAGGTGGTCCAGCGGCGACGGCCGGAGTGGTCACTCAGGCGGGTGAGCGACGTGGTGTACGGCAGGACTAGCGGCCGGACCAGTGTCGCCGACGAAGCAAGCTACAGCATCAGATGCCTCGCGACGATCGAGAATTCGGAGGAGATGGATCTGCGCCTGGCGCTTCTGCGGGAGCTGGTGCAGGTGAAGGAACTCGCCGACTTTGAGTGGCGAGACAAGATTCGAGAGATGCTCCAGCTGCACGAGAGCAGGCGTTGCCTTCTCCAATGAGAATCGAACCGAATAAATTTAGAGCTGCAGGAAGAGAACAATCACGCAATAAGTAGTTAGCCAAGGCATGTACGATCTCTCCCTCTCCCTTTTCGCCCACTTCTTTGCCCCCGACCCCACTCCGGTGTGTGTATATGTACCAACTCCTCCCCCGCTGTACACTTATACAGGTCAGCCGAATTTAAGATTTGAAGGCGGGGCGGCCGTGAGCTGTAAAATCTTGAAAATGTGTGAATTTACAGCTAAAATCCTGCGAAAATGCGCTCCAGAGCTCTAAAATCTTGGTCTAAAATCTGAAAATCGCCGGCCTGCGGCCGGCCTCTAAAATCTTAAATTCGGCGGACTTGTAGTCGGCCTCACCAACCTTCACGGGTCTCACAGTCAGCTGTGAGAGCCCTGTGTGAAGAGAGCGCAAGGGGTTGGTGCGTCTGTACCGATGACCGAGACGCGAGAGGTCGTTGCGTCTCGCGACGCGACGTGTGTGAGTAAATGCACCATTGAGCAAAAACCTGACGAGGCGTGTGTGTGAGTGTGTGTGTGTACTCACTCACACACTGACGAGGCCTGTACGTATGTATCTAATACTTTCACACCTTTCTGCTAAACCTCGCGAGGGCAGCAAGACTGGTCAATCGCCCTAAACCACACGCGAGGGCACCTAAAAACCACACGCCGCGCACACGCCCCGCCATCCGACCAGATCTGCTGCACAGCCTGCCAGCAGGCTGTGCAGCAGACCTGCTGGACACTCAACACACACGCACGCCCGCGCCGCCCGCCCACTGCGCGGCCGACTGCACCCCGCGACAGCCCCGTTCCACCAGGCGAGGCGCGCGTGGCACGCCGCGCGCGCCCCCGGGCGGCTCGGCCAAGGTGTACTTCACCCCCCCATGCCTGTGTACTCTCTCTGTGCAGCAATACACTCACACACGCCCACGCGGCTCACGCACTGCGCGACCGCCCGCGCCCTGAGAAAACAGCAGCCTTACAACACAAGTGAGCACCCAGCTAGCAGCCCGCACGACGCTGCCTGCGCCCTCGCACGTCTGCACCTTCTCTGTATGAGGTTCTCAGATCTCACCCGCTCTGCGGTCACAAAAAGAAACCCCTCCACACACGCAAAACTCGGGAGATAGCCAGCGTTTGTGCCCCGTTTGTGCGTTTTATTTTTTAGCCAGCCCGTATAAGATATACGAACTCAAAAGAAAAACGCCGCCTTCCCTCCTTGGGAAAGAATTCAACAAAAAGAACTCCTTGGGAAAGAAAAAATAGTTATGGAGCGCGGACTAACCCTCGGAGACCCGTGTTTACTTTACGGCCCTTTCCCTGCGAATGCGCACCCCCCCTAGCTAGGGGTCAGGGCTCTCTAGCCCGTAGCCCGATGCCGATCATCCGGCTCGCTGTGGGTGCGCTTCTTAGCTCCCTGGCCCTGGATGTGAGGTTGATGACTGCACTCCAAGTGCTCCAAGTATGGCGTACAGCCCTTCGGGCACCTTTGTGATTTGTTTGCACCTCTGTAGATTCGCAACCTCCCCCTGGGACACGAAAACAGGCGTAGTGTGTGTAGCACCGCTGCCAACGAAAATTTGGGGCGTCACACAGACAGCGAGATAAGGATCAACTGGAACTCACCAGTCCGATAAGGATCAACTGGAAGGCTGAACCCTGGGCTTAGACAGAACGGGCGAGGTAGGCTCCAAGGGAGACCACGCTCTACCCAAGGCGCCAAGATTGAGTGCGTTTTACGCGTGCTACTGTATGACTACGACCTCTCTCTACGCTCTAGTCATGTCGTGTGTGAGTCATGTGCAGGGAGTGCAGCAGACTCGCCGGAAACGTCCAATCATCCCGCACGCTGCTGTCTGTCGCGGGCGACGCGGCGGGCTCCCACAGCGCGAGGCCGCTAGTCTCTGCGGCCGCGATGGTCTCGGCGGCCACCACCTGCATGCTCGGTCGCAGACCCGGGTCTTGCTGCCAGCAGCGAGTGATGAGGTCCGAGTAGACGGCGCGGTCGGGCGAGAGGCTCAGCGGCGGCCGCGACGCGGACGAGGGCGGGACGGCCACCTCGTGCATGAGGGACCAGAGCAGCATCCCGTACGAGAAGGTGTCGCACCGCTCGTCGTAGCCCGCGACGGGTGCCTGTCCAGACGCGCCACGAGGCTGGGCGCGCACCTCTGGCGCCATGAAACGCTTCGTGCCTGCTCACAGCGTCGCGCTGTAAAGAGAGGCCCCTCCCGGCGCGGCGGCATCAAGCGCGCTCCGTGCCGACGTCCGACGTGTAGAGTGCCGCCTCGGCACCGGAACCGGAGACCGGCGCCGTCGACGCGTCGCTCGCAGAGGCGGCGCCGCAGCTGCCCACGAGCCGCGCGAGGCCAAAGTCGGCCACCTTTGCGTGGTACTCCGTGTCGAGGAGCACGTTGCTCGGCTTGATGTCGCGGTGCATGACGCCGTTGCCGTGCAAGAAGGAGATGCCCGTCGCAACCTCGGCCGCGATCCTGGCCGCCAGCCCCGCCCGGAGGGGCTCGCCCCGCCTGAGCAGCTCGCTGAGCGAGGTCTGCATCAGCTCGAGCACGAGCGCGCCGCCGCCGCCCGACAAGGTTGTGGCGCCGAAGAGGGTGCAGATCGACGGGTGGCGGAGCCGGGCGAGGAGGCGCGCCTCGTCCTGCAGCCGCCGCGAGGTCTGCCCGCCCCGCGTCACCTGCGAGAAGCAAGGGGGGGGGGGGGGGGGCAGGGGGCGAGAGGGTGAGGCGAGAGGGCGACCCGATGCAGGGAGAGCAGAGGGGGAAGGCTGCGAGCTAGCTGCGAGCTAGCTGCGAGCTGGCACCGCCCGCCCTCTCCGCCGTCACCTCGAGGGCGACGTGTATGCGGAGATTGTGGGAGATCGCGGGAGATAGTGTGAGATCTCACCTTGAGGGCGACGTGTATGCCGAGCCAGCGGCCCGCGTAGACCGTGCCTTGGCCTCCCCTGCCGAGGACGCGGTCGATGACGATGTCGTTGGCTGAAGGCGGCGGCGGGAGGGCGGCCGCATCTCGATCCAGAAACGCGAGGCGCACCTGCGGACCGTGGATGCGTCACGCCGTGAGCATGCGGACATGCCGTGGACATGTCGTGGACGGGTCTCGAGGGCGAGGCGCACGTGCTGCTCCATCAGGTAGCCGAGCGCCTCGCCGAGCATCAGCGCGCCTAATCTCTCGGGTGATCTCGGGTGATCTCGGGTGATCTCGGGTGATCTCAGGTGGCCGAGCGGGGATCACCCAGTAGTGCCTCCGATCAGCAGCGGCTCGGCTACATCTCGGCCACATCTCGGTCACATCTCGGCCACATCTCGGCTACATCGTGCCTCCGATCAGTAGAGGCTCGCCCGGGTGGCCGATCTCCGTGACGGGCGGCGACAAGGTGAAGCCAGCCATGATGACTGCGAATCACGCGAAGCGGTGCGCGTCCAAGATGGCCGAGTAGCGCAGGTAGACGACGGACAGCAGCAGGAACAGCGCCTCGTTAAGGACGAAGAAGTGGAGCGGGTAGATGAAGCCCGTGGGCAGGTGGAGGAGGAGTATGGCGGCGACCAGCACCGCCGTCAGGCCGACCAGCGTGCGACCAAAGAGCAAACGGGCGCGCTGCTGGTCGTGCATGCGGTCTGCCCGCCAGCGCGCACCCGCCAAGGATGCGAGCCAGACGAGCTCGCCGAAGAGATAGTCGAGCAAGAACTCGTTCTTGAGGACGAAGGAGAGGGCCAAGTCGAACGCGGCACACCTGTCGGAAGTTCGTGGAAGGCTCGTGGGAGGCTCCGAGCCTGGCAGCGAGGACCAGCTCGAAGGCGGCTCGCACATGCCGAGGAAGATCAGGAACGGCAAAAAGGCAGAGCGGAAGGCCTTGGACGTGTACTGCGCCTCCATGTCCCGGTCGACGAACTGGAGCCTGCCGGGACAGGGAGAAGCGCAGCGGTCGAGTGGCGTGTGCGCTCCCTGGCGCGCCGCCGGTGTGTCTCTCTCATTGGGGCGCACGTCCACGGCTTGAGCGGCGGCGGCGCAGCGGGGGCGAGCAACTGCCCGGCGGCGGCGGCTCGCTCGAGGAAGGCGAGTCGCATGCGCCGCTCGAGGAGGTAGCCTGCCGCCTCGCCGAGCAGTAGTGCTCCGCCTACGCGACACCTCGGGGCGGTGGCACCGCGACCTCGGGAGACCTCGCCGAGCAGGAGCCGCCCCGCCCAGCAGGAGAGGCTCCGCTGGCCGGCCAAGCACAGACAGCTGCGGCAGCATGGCGCTCCCGATCGCCTGCACACCGAACCTCGACGGCTCTCAACTTGCGGGCCGTCACAGCTCTGCCCGCTCTGCCCGCGTCTCGCGTTGGTCGCGGAGTAGGCGGCGCGCGACTGCCACGGGATGGCCTGAAGGTGCCGAGGAGAAGGCTCATCATAGAGGGATCGGAGACTGCGGCGCGCGGCTGCCACGGGGTGGCCGAGTGGCGCAGGTAGAGAGAGACGAGGCACCGCATCAGCGCAACCACCACCACCAGGCCGGGGTGCCTTGGCTCGGGCGGGTGGATCCGGAAGATGAGCAGCAGCGCGGCCCAGCCCACAACCGCCGTGGCATTGAGCGCGAGGCCAAACAGCGCGCGCGCCCGCTGCTGGTCCGCCATGCGGCCCGTCCTCCGGCGAGCGACGGCCAACACGACTCCGGCGAGAGCGGTCGCCATCCCGGCTTCTCGGATGGCCGGGAATCCCACGGCAAGGGCTGTATACAGCGCGGACCAGACCACCTATGCAAGAGAAGAGAGAGACACGCGTCACTCAGTGGTGTGCGGCACAGGATGCACTCGGCGTCTCTTCAGCACGCCAGGAAGACAACGAGAGGCGAGTAGGCGGAGCGGAACGCATCAGCAGTGAAGCGTGCCTCGAGCGCGGGGTTTTTGATGGTAAGAGTCCACCGCTGCAGCCGTGCATCGTCTGTAGCTGGCCAGAATGCGGCTGCCGCGGCGAGCATCACCAACGCAGCAGCAGCGACGCTTGTTTTTCGGTTTCCAGCAGGTGTCTTTGGCTGCCTTGAGCGTGGCCAATCTATCAGCGTACCGCGCCTTCAGCATAGCGATCCGCGCCTTGAGCTCTTCCAGCTCACGATCTCGTCGGGAGAGCGTCCTCGTCCGTGTGGTGCGATCCGCCGCCGCGTGGTCGAGTGCAGCGATCAGGGCGAGGAGCGCTGCGAAGGGCGTGCACCTCGATCCTGCACCGTGTTTGTTATGACCCCCCCCAGTGAACACACCAGTGAGGGAGGGCGAGACGATCGAGGGGTCCCGTACCATGCGGAATCGACCCTATCCAGTGCTCAAGTGCTCAAGCTAGGAAGGCGAAACACAGTCCGACCAACGACTGGGTTGCAGACTGGGACACCAACGCGGTATGGGTGGACGCAGGACGGGCGATGACGGTCACACAGGAGCGACACACAGAACCACAAGACAAGACACTCAGCCAACGGGGCGGCTGCCACACATCCTGAGCGAACTTCCCTGTCACCCGCGGCCGGACTCCATCCGGCACGCGTCGCTGGGCGCTCAGAGCTGCGTCCCCTGCTCGCCACCCCGACGCCCAAGGCGCCCGAGCGAACGACAGGCGGCACGCGAAGACTGATTGCAATCCCGCCGACCGCCAGGCCGCGGGATGATGCGTGCGTGGTCTTGTAGTGGGTCTCGGAAGCATGTGGCCGCAGCCCAAAGCATGTGGCCGCACACACACTGCCGATTTTATATGCAGCCCACTTCTTCTCTTCCACCTGGTGGTGCGATGGGCTCCCTCCCGCGGGGAGATGTCACGCCCCCCACAGCAAATCGGTTTTTGCCCTTAAATAGTGCTGTTTTCGTTGGGCCGAATTTCGCTTGACTTGGTCGGTTTGAGCACTATCTTCAGCCAACGCCCACAGCAAATCGGTGAAAACCTGGAGTCACGCCACTGGTTCGCGACGCGCACCACAAGAGCGTCTGCGACCCGGAGGCGCCGTATCAGTACCTGCAGAACGACATCTGGACGCCGATCGACTCGACCCTCGCTCTACCGCCTCACTTGGTGGCCACCACTGAACTTGGTCCTCCATGGAGTCTGAACCGGCCGCCATTATGCCGCAGCAGGACTGGGAGGTTGTCATGGTGGACGAGGCGGCACAAGAGGGTTTCTTCCACTACGAGGTTCGGCGAGGCGAGGAGGCCTATCGCTTGCCAGTCCTGCGGAATTGGAAGCTCGTCGGCTCTGCCTTCTACACAATGAATGTGCGAGAGCACCGCGTCACCCCGATTCAGGAGCTGTATGAGCACGAGGCATGGTTGCGCATGAGCGTGAAGTTGAAACCGGAGGACGTTCTCATCTGCTCGTACCCCAAGTCGGGGACGACACTGGTCGAGCAGATCGTGCTGCTTCTGCTCAACAGCGGCGATCACGAGGCCCTTGATCCCCTCTCCAAGAATGCGATTCGACCGACAAAAGCGACGTTTGGAAAGATCTGGCCCGAGGCGTGCCTAGTGCCTGATGGCTGCACCGAGCGGGCACCCTTCCGACCGATAGGCGAGCAGTTCAGGCCAGTGGAGCTCTCGCTCTTCGAGGCCATGCACAGCCCTCGCGTCATCAAGACGCACAACGCTCCACAGCATGTCGTTGGCTGCGATGCGAGCGGGCAGCTGGCAGAGTCTCGATACATCATCGTGTGCCGCAACCCCCTCGACACTTGCGTCTCTGCGTACTATCATGGCTGGAGCCCCGCTGAGAGCGGCGTGCCCTTTGATGCGTGGTCAGTCGCATGGCTCGCCGGGCTGCCAGCGCAAGGCGGCACGTGGTGGACGTATTATGAGCAATGGCGGCGAGCGGAGCAGCTCAGCACGAAGCGCGCCCAGTTCTTATGGGTGCAGTACGAGCACATCAAGGATCAGCCTGAGCGTGAGATTCGCCGTATCGCCGCCTTCCTCGGCATCGACGGCGACGACGCTCTCATCGCGCGCGTTGTGCATGGTAGCGACTTTACCGTCATGAAGCGCAGCGCAAAGGAGGCCGCCAAGGCCCGCCACCGGTTGGACTCGGACGCACACATGCGCAAGGGGATCGTGGGCGATCACATCAACCACTTTGAGCCCGAGCGCCGCCGCCGCTTCATCTCTGCCCTGCAAGGCGGCGGCAACCCCCACGCACCATTCACGGATGCAGTCTCGCTATCTTTTAACTCTCCAGCAGAGCAGGTCTCGCCCCAGCCATTCGCCATCCTTGATTTCATGGCAACGCTGCTGCTACCCGCCACTATGAACGCGGCAAACACGTGTATCATCCCGATTGCCGAGGCTGTCGTCCGGTCCCGACGAATGAGTGCCGATGCAACAAGGACGGAGGTGCTGCACGCATCGGCGCTAGAGATCGCCGTTAGCACGGCTGGAATTTTGCTGTCCACGCTAGCCTACTTCGCTATGCCATCGCGGTGGCACGAGGGGCGCACCATCTACCTGTTTGCCAGCGGCTGCTTCACCGTCGGCACCGGCGCCTACATGACGGCCGTGTTGACAGACACGCCCAGGTGGGCGACACTCTTGTGTCGCGTCCTGGCGCTGAGCGGCTCCGGTATCAAGTACACCATCAAGGCGCGCTTTCGCAGAGCCGGCGCACATGCACACGCACATGCATAAATCTACAGATGCATTAAATCTACACATGCACATGCATTAAATCTACACATGCACATGCATTTATCTACACATGCACACGTACCAAGCATGCGCCCCGGCTGATGTACGTGCACATGCCGAACACAGGTGCGCATATCCCAGTCGCTTTTTGCACAGAAGCGGTCGTTCCTCATGCTCTGTGTCACGACGTCGGCTCTTGTTGGCACGCAACACGGGGTCCCAGGGAAGGCGAGCAAGAACCTTCTCGCGTGCCAGACGCCAAAAAGACGACGCAAATCCATTCACAGTCCTTGGCGACGGCGGCTTCAGAAGCGGCTTCAGAAGAGAGCTTCTTTACTTATAAAATTCTTTATTTTCTCTTTGTGGTTGGCTCTGGCGGGCGCGCTGCGGTCGCACGCCTCCCAAGTCATATGCCACGGCGTGCAATGTAGATTCAGCACACGCGCCTCTGCTCGCGAACACTCATCCAATGAATTGTCATCCCCCATGTGCCATGAGTGCGAGATAGGGCTAGCGGCTGGCCGCTAGCTAGCCTCTGAGGAGGGCGTCCATAGACACCTCACATGACCCCACACACGGTCTTGTCCGGCCTTGCGGCCGGCTAGATTGCTAGAGGCGGAGCAAGCCTGCTCTAGTCTCACATGTTGGCCCCTGTCGCCTGTCTGTGTTGTTGTGCTGTTGTTTGTTCCTTGGCACCTTGGAGTGCTGGGGGGGCGACAGGGGGGACTGGCCCTGAGTGATGTGTACGCCTACTCAGGGTGTGTGGCAGCCCGCTGGCTGTGAGTCTTGTGAGCTTGTTTGTGTCTGTGTGTCGCTCGTGCGTGTCGTCATCATCTGTCCCGCGTCCACCCATACCGCGTTGGTGTCCAGTCCGAGCCTGACTGTTCTTCGCCTTTCTATCAATCAATCAAATGGCTCTACTAACTCATGCGGCCGGCGAGGCGGAACAGCCTGCTCTAGCCTCACCGTTACGTGCCTGGTCGCCTTGTTGTTGTTGTTGTTGTTGTTTTGTTGCTCGTGCTCGTGTATCGCGCGCGTTGAGCTCTTGGTGCGAACTGCGATGGTGCCTTTTGGCGCCTGCTTGGCGCTTGGGCGCTGGAGGGGGCCCGGGGGGGGCGACCACAGGGACGCGGCCCCGAGTGATGTAGTGCCGTACACGCATCACTCGGCGGGATGCGGTGTGGCAGCCAGCTCGCAGCTGGGGCTGAGAGTGTCTTGTGTGTTCAACTATCTACTTGTGAGTGTTTCTCTGTGTCTGTGGGTCGCGCTCTCCAGCGCGTGCCGTCATCTCCTGTCTCGCGTCCGCACACCCACACTGGGAAGCGCCGGTGTCCACATAACCCATCTTGCGTCCGGAATCGATGTCTAGATACACATGAATGTTTTCTTTCGCGGCACGGGGGTTCACACGGGTCGGCGTCTGCGCGCAACCGCCGCCTCTAGTTGATCCACCACCACTCTTGCCCCACGCCGGCCTCCCGCCACGCCGCGCACGCGGCCGTCTTGAGGTCGACCTCGCTGGTCGTCCGCCCTCCGTCGCCAATGACGCCGTGCGCATAGTGGGCCGGCCAGCCCGGCTCATCGTCGACCGCACGCCAGCCCTCGCCGGCGGGGAAGCCCGCGTGCTCCGCAAAGGAGAGCCACTGCCGGAGGAGCGCTCGACCGAGCGCCACGTCCGCCGGCGCTGGGCGGTAGGGGCCGCACCGGCTCCCGGGCCAGTACGACACGTCTGGGTCCCAGCCCCAGGCGCTCACCGCCGCCGCGGTGGGCGCGCCGACCGACATGGCGGCGATGAAGTCGAAGAGGTGGAAGGCGTAGATGGAGGGCGTGTGGCAGTCCTCGAGGAAGAGCGGGTGGTGCGGCCGCGCCCGGACGAGGGAGAGGAAGACGGCGGCGGTGCCGCTCCTCCGCCGCGCGGCGCCCGCCTCAACTGCGAGCGCGAGCGAGCCGCAAGTCGCGCCCGTGTCCGCAGTCAGCGCGTAAGCTGGCGCGGCGGGCAGGGTCTCGTTCTCGCCGCCGACACCCGCGTAGATCGAGTAGAGCCGCGCTGCCGCCGCGCCGAAGCCGGGCGTCAGCTTGGCCTCGATGTAGGCGGCCGCGTCGGCGCGGCTGCGCAGCGCGGCGAGGGCGGGGTCGGGCTGCCAGTCGAGCTCGCCCTCGAGCATCTGCAGCAACAGCGGCGCCGAGTAGCCCTCGCGCGCCGCCTCCAAGCTGCCTCGCGTGATGGTGACGCCGTCGACGTACGGCAGAGCAGACCACTCGAGTCCGCCTGCGGGCGGGATATGGGGAGATATGGGGAGATATGGGGAGATATGGGGAGATGTGGGGAGATGTGGGGAGATGTGGGGAGATGTGGGGAGATGTGGGGAGATGTGGGGAGATGTGGGGAGATGTGGGGAGATATGCCGGTGAGCAGCCTGCGGGCGGGGCCGGCTCCGAGGCGAGGCTGCGGCCGAAGGAGAAGTAGTCGTACGACGGCTCCAGAGCGCCTTGGAGCTCCGCCACGCTCGCCTTGCGCAGGCAGGCCAGGGTCGCCGCGCCGCGCGAAAGCTTTGCGCACGGCGTGTGGCGGAGCCAGCGCTGCTCGTCCTGCCGCAGCTTGTCTCTGGCCGAGAGGGAGATGTTTGGCGAGGCGCTCAGCGAGATGGCGGCCTACGTACTGAATACGCCAATGAGGGCAGGAAGGCGGCATTGTACAGTCGGAATACGTGTCCACTCGAGCGCTGGTTGGATTAGAATACGTATTCCGCTTCTAGGGATGGCGGCGTGGAAGAGGCCGCGGCTCGCCGGCGCGGCGAGGTGGGCGAGGATGGAGGTGCCGCCAGAGGACTGGCCGAGGAGCGTCACCTTGGCCGCGTCGCCGCCGAAGGCGGCGGCGTTCTTCGCGACCCACCGCATCGCCAGCTGCTGGTCGAGGATGCCGTAATTGCCGCTCACTCCGCGAGGGTCGGCCGAAGCGAGCTCCTCCAGCGCGGCAAAGCCGAGCGCGCCGAGGCGGTAGTTCATCGCGACCAGCATCGCCCGCCCGCCGCTGCCGCTGACCAGGTTCTCGATCGCGCCGTACGAGGCGACGGACCCCTCGACAAGAGAGCCGCCGTACAGCCAGACAAGGACGCTGAGCCGGGCGGAGGCGTTGCCGAGCGCGGCGACGGGAGTGAAGACGTTGAGCGTCAGGCACTGCTCGGAGACGGCCGGAGGGCCGTACGGCGGTTTCATGCCAGGGCAGCCCGGTCCGTCGGCCAAGGCATCCAGTACGCCGTGCCAGCAGGCGGCGGGCGTCGGAGGCAGGAAGCGGCCAGCTTCGCCGAAGGGAATGCCGCGAAAGGCGGCGACGCCACCCGCCTGCGTCCGCCCCTGCACGACACCGCAGCTGGTGCGAGCAATGACGGCAGGGCTCTCCTTCTCGACAGTCTCCTTCTCGACAGTCAGGACAGCGGAGCGGGCGCTGGCGCACCACGCGCATGCGAGGAGGAGGAGCAGACTCAGAACAACCAAGCCGCAATGGCGGTGAGGGGTCGTCTTGCCGTGTGGCAACTGGCCGTCATTCAACCGTTCAGCGAGCAGTGGCCGCGTGTGCATGCGTCAGACACGCTGCAGATCTGAGTCGGGTGACGCTCGTGACGTGAACAACGAGAACAGTTCACTTGGCCACCGGTGGGGGTACGACACGCGATCTGTCGTGGGATCGCTTGTCATGACTCATCAGAGGTGGGAGAAGCCGCGAGAGCAAGGAATCGTGTGTGTGTGTGTGTGTGTGTGCAAGGGATCGGCAGGCGGCGGCGTCGTCGCAGAACGAGGCAGAGGAGAGTTACGAGACAGAGGGATGTGGGACAGAGGATGACGACACGTCGAGACGACACGCGCGAGCGACACACAGACACACAATCAATCGGCGAGAGACTGCGAAGAGAGATAGGAAGAGGCAGACGCCCAAGGGTGGGCGACGGCTAGCGCACCACACCCCTCTCCTTAAAATCCCTGTGTGGTCTTACGGCAATTTCTGTTTTCTTTGTTGTAAAAATCATGAAGGTTTGTTGTAAAATTCTCTAAATTGTTTCTCCCCAAGTTCAGGATATAAGCTAGCCCGATGCTGAGCATCCGGCCCGCTGGGTGCGCTTCATAGCTCCCCGAGGGCCCAACTTCATAATCGTGCTTTTTGGGTTGGGTTGGGTTGTTGGCCCGGGTTGGGTTGTTCCGCGTGAGGTTGGGTCGTCGGCGCGAATGGTGAGGTCTCGACCGCCGCCGCTCACGCCAGCGGACGGCCACCATCGGTGTTTTTGGCTTCGCCACCGTCCAAGGCGTGCGCCATGCGCTCGCCGGCATCGAGCGAGCAACGTGATCGACCGAGCGGCTTGCTGTGTGGACGCCTTCTTGTGGCTCTCGTCGAGAGCGTTTTGCGTCCCGGCGGGTGGGAGAATATGTCGTCTGATGTGTCACTGTGTACGTCACATCGGTCTTGATAACAAGCACGGTCGATCCGTCGAAGCGATACACTCGTTCCTATCACGCTGGAAGGCTGGCACGGAGCTCTGTGCCGGCACACAGAAGAGCCGTGCGGCAAGAGAAGAGCTCGATGGGGAGCGAGAACCGTCAGATTTTCAGGTGTAACCTGAAGTCCGTCGCGATGCACTCAATCCCTCCCGAGCGAAAGCCTGTGGCTCTCTCGAACTCGTCGATATATTGCGGATAAACTGCTCTTCCCGCATAGCTTGCAGAGTCAGAGGCGCAGAAAGGCTGCGAGTGCTCGACGAGTCTTGCGAGCTGCGCGGTCAAACCAGGGGGGAACTGACCGCATCAAGGCGGACTTCCGAAACCTGGGTGAGCACCTCTGACGGTTCTCGCTCCCCATCGAGCTCTTCTTGCCGCACGGCTCTTGCTGTGTGCCGGCACAGAGCTCCGTGCCAGCCTTCCAGCGTGATAGGAACGAGTGTATCGCTTCGACGGATCGACCGTGCTTGTTATCAAGACCGATTTGACGCACACAGTGACACATCAGACGACACATATTCTCCCACCCGCCGGGACGCAAAACGCTCTCGACGAGAGCCACAAGAAGGCGTCCACACAGCAAGCCGCTCGGTCGATCACGTTGCTCGCTCGATGCCGGCGAGCGCATGGCGCACGCCTTGGACGGTGGCGAAGCCAAAAACACCGATGGTGGCCGTCCGCTGGCGTGAGCGGCGGCGGTCGAGACCTCACCATTCGCGCCGACGACCCAACCTCACGGAAGAATTCAACAAAAAGAACTCTCTCTCACCGACACAGGTTCGACACAGGTACCAAAAGGAGCACAGCAGACGGCAACCCCTTAGGCGCCGTCGAAGAGACCGGCCCACCTGGCCGGCCGCTCTTCCCCCCTCCCCTCGAAAGCGCGCTCAATCGCTCGCTCGTCGCACTCCATATCACCTGGACCTATCAACAGGCGCCTGCGGCGCCGTGGTCAGAAGCTGCTGCTCCAACCTGTTCACACTTTCATAGTTGACTTGGAGCACTTGGAGTGCGGTCATTAACCTCACGTCCAGGACCGGGGAGCTAAGAAGCGCACCCAGTTGGCCGGACGCTCGGTATCGGGTTGCGGGCTAGAGAGCCCTAGCCCCGGGTGTGCGCGGTCGCAGGGCCATAACACGTCTCCGAGGGATGGTTCCGTGTACCGGGTTACCCCTTAACTGCAGAACGCACCCTCTTCCTCGACCGTGGGGGGGTGCGCGGTCGCAGGGCCATAATGGTATTTTTTCTCTCGGCGTTTGCTGCCCCCCCCCCGTGTTGAAGACCAACCAACATTCGCCGCGGGCTGCCTACGAAGATGGCCACCTCAGCGCCGACAGTGGTTGCCACGTCGGCCCGCGCCTCGTCGGAGCACGATGCCGCCGTTAGCATCCAGAGGCACGTTCGCGGTAAGTTTGCCCGCAGCGAGCTTGGCGAAGCTTCCAAAGCCTACTTCCAAAGCCTCGCGCGCGTTCGAGACAGCGCCGGTGGTCGAGACAGCGCCGGTGGTCGAGACTTGGACCCCGTTGAGTCGTACCGAGACCAGCAGTTGCGCGCCTTCCGATCACACTGGACCGTACGCTTTGACCACCGGCGTACGCATCACCTCTTCCGGCTGCTCGACGTCAAGGGCGACTACAGGGTCTCCGTGCACGAGCTCGCGGTGCCTTCCCGAATCTCCGTCGCTCCCGCTACCTTTCGCTCGGCCCCTCGTGACTGCGTGTGTGGAACTCTCTGTTCAGGTGGGGCTCCTCTCCATCGGCCTCTTCGACGGCTTGGCGGCGGAGAGTGAGGAGGAGCGGCAGAGGCAGATCGGCTCCCTCACCAACGCGTGCATGCTCTTCTTTGATGAGGACGAGAGCGGCATGCTGTCGGCGCGCGAGTTCTTTGCCATCTTCCACGGCGCGCACTGCACTGGGCCGTGCACGCTTGATGCCATGGGCCGCCTGTCCTTCTAGCCGTGTAGTCGCGAGGGCTGCCCCCCCCCCCCCCTTCCCGCATTCCCTCCCCTCCTCTTCCCCCCCCCCCCTCACACCCTGTGTGTGCGGAGAAGTGCACCCTTACCTCACCCTAGGCCGCTCGCTCGCCGAGCTGCTCGCGCTCCTCGAGGCTCAGGTGAGCGAGGCGGGGTGGGGCGCAAGCTGTGGACCGTCTCCTGGTCTCCTGTCGCTAGTCTCGGACACGGGGGCCTAGACAGAGAGGGGCCCGGCCTCTCTCCCTCCTTTGCTGAATTGAGCAGTTGCCTGCTACCGCTGCTACGCGTGTAGGAGCGAGGCGGCGGCAGGCTCCACTCGCGACTCGACGGAGGGGGAGGAGGCGACGCCAGCGCCACCCTCGTCCGCTTTGGCGCACCATCGCACGGCGGCAGCAGCGGAGGCGGCAGCAGTGGAGGCGGAGGCAGTGGAGGCGGAGGCAGCGGAGGCGGAGGCAGCGGAGGCGGAGCAGGCAGTGGAGGCGGCGAGGGCGTCTACTTCGAGGTCGAGATTCGGCCCGAGGGGTGGGTGCGGAAGGGCGGGAGGGGGCAGGGGCGAGGCCACGTCACCGGAAGGGGGCGGGGCAGGCCCGGACGGGGGACGATGAAACCGCGCCCCCTGCCTACCTTCGGTGTCCAGCTGTGAATAGGAGCTGTGAGTAGGGGAGCTGTGAATAGGAGCCCCCTGCCCACCTTCGGCCAGCGCAAGGTGGCGAGGCCGACGGTGCGCACAGGGTTGGCAATCCCCTCCTCCTCCACCACCACCTCCTCCTCCGCTGCCGCCGCTGCCGCCCCTTCGCTCGCCGCCGCTCTGGCGCAGCTGCCGCCGCCTCCGCCAGAGTCGTCGCGCCTCTGGCTTGACGCACCTTAGATGCGAGGAGGTGGTGGGGTGGTGGAATGGTCTCCGGAGGAGCAGGAGAAGTCAAGTAGTAAACCGGTTGGTAGCGCGCCCTGTGGAGGAGCACACGGGTCTATAGCGCTTGACACGAGAGAGTGGAGAGCGTTCGGCTCTATTCCGAGGCTGCACAGACCTGCTGCAAGCATTCTCGCACCCCGTCTACTCTCACGCGAGATGCTCCGACCACACAGATAGCTCGACACACACACTGCGTGCTCACGCGCCCTGGCTGTGGGGCCCCGGGGGCAGGGTGGCTCAACTCGCGCTACTGATGAACTAAGTGCCACCTTCGTAGCTGCTTTGCGTAGAGCCAGGCTAGGCAGACGCGCCGCTAGTCCCTCACGTCATCAGGCTCGACACGCGCCGCTGCTCCTCCTCCGACGCCGCGCTCATCCGAGCTGCCTTCGACCTGCCGCAGCCCTGTGCACCTTCCTTCCCTACGCCGCCTCCATCTGCATCTACCTGGCAGTCATCAGCGACTCGCGTGATTGAGCGAAATAGGCACCCACGGGCCCCTTCTCATGAATGATCAAATAGGGGCCTCTGCGTGCTCTCAATCATGAACACTATCTAGATAGAGGCACACGGGCCCCTTCTCATGGACGGAGAGTGGTTGGATATCGGCCTAGTGGCCTATTCTTGGCCATCCAGATCATGAACTAGGCACGGGCCCCTGATCGCATCACAATGATGAGTGGCTGAATATGGGCCTTAAACTCAGCTGGTCGTCGTTAACCAGGCACTGCTGACCCCTCTCCGAGTTGTACGTTTTCTTTATTTAGGCACTGACCCCTTCTCGCTGTGGCATCCGGCCCGCTTCGAAGACTTCTTCGAGCCGCGTGACGCGGCGGCAGCTCGGTTCCCATCCTTGCATGCCCTCCCTCGCCCCTCACGCTCTGGAGTGCGCACGTCGCAGGAGTCACTTGGGTGTGCGGAGCCGCCAGCAGGGGCTTGGGGGCAGAGGGGCTCGCTCGGCGTGCCGGAGGTCTCCGGCGGGGCCAACCTCCCTCCGCACACGTGTGCTGATGAATCGAACTCGCTTTCAGGCGGTGTGCCGGACAAATCGAGACGGCCTCACCTCAGCATCTGTGTTGATGGATGAACTTAATTTGATATAGGCGGCGCCGGAATCTCCGACGGCCGACCCGTCACGCTGCTGGTCTGCCGAGATAGCAATCCTGTCACGCGCTCACACCAGACCTGTCACGCCGAGAGCAATCCTGTCACGCTAGGTCTGCCACCTCCTCGTGATCGAGAATCCAGGCGGCCGGCCGCCCCTTGCTAGCACCCCATCCCTCTGGGCACCCATGTACCTTTACATGTCCGTCCCGCTTAAGAGCCTGTGTGGCGTCTGTCATCTAGACATGGACACGGGAGCGCGGCTTCCTTTCGAGCAGTCGCTTACCGCTACTTTTAGGCTGGCGGCCCTGGGCTCGCTCGGCCGGGCTCGGTCGCGGCAGCAAGCAGCGGCGGCGGGGCAAGCTCGAGAGCAAGCGCACGCTCGACATGCAGCCGCCCGGCGCCCTCTGACAATGCGTCTCGGAGCAGCTCCCCCCCCCCCCCCCTCCAGTTGCTAATGTGCTGCTACCTTGTGACGAGACAGGCGTCCTCTCGGAGCAGCTCGCCGTCGTCGTCGTCGGCGACGCCCTCTCCCCGTCTCCGCCGTCACTCTCCACACCAACAGGGAGGCACAGGTCATGTGGAGCGGTCCCAATGATTAGGCGACGACCTCCTAGTCTCCGCCGTCCGCTCCGCGCGCAGCGGGAGCCGGCCCCGACAAAAGCCTGTCGGGCAGCCCCATCAATGATCGAACCTAGTCAGGCGAGCCAACCATCGACTCAGGCTCGCCGACGTGCCAACTTGTCCTCTTACCATCTTGTCTCAGAGTTGACCGTGCCCATTCCTTCACTCTCAGGCTCGACGAGCTGCTGTCCGAGCAGCGCCGCTGCTTGCAGGAGCCGCCACGCACACTAGGGGCCTTAGACGCTCTTCCTGCGCGGGGGAGGGAGAGGGGGGGGGGAAGGCTCCTGTCTGTAGACGTTGGCGGCGCGAGGGCTGCCTGGCCCTTCGTTGCCCCACCAACTAGTACGGTGTGGACAAGTTCACCGACCGTATCTCCACCTTCCTTGTGTGCAGGAGCGGCTGCAGGAGCGGCGGCACTCCACCGGCGCCCGCTTCCTCTGCTGGAGCCTTGCCGACGCCGTCGTCCGTGAGCTGGGCTACGCGCAGGCACTATCTTAGACTTGTCCGAGCCCTAGAGAGCCCGCGAGATCATGACCCGAGATTGCTCGAGATCGCCAGCTGGGCTACGCGCAGGCACTATCTTAGACTTGTCCGAGCCCTAGAGAGCCCGCGAGATCATGACCCGAGATTGCTCGAGATCGCCAGCTGGGCTACGCGCAGGCACTATCTTGACTTGTCCGAGCCCTAGAGAGCCCGCGAGATCATGACCCGAGATTGCTCGAGATCGCCAGCTGGGCTACGCGCAGGCACTATCTTGAATTGTCCGAGCCCTAGAGAGCCCGCGAGATCATGACCCGAGATTGCTCGAGATCGCCAGCTGGGCTACGCGCAGGCACGATCTTAGACTTGTCCGAGCCCTAGAGAGCCCGCGAGATCATGACCCGAAATTGCTCGAGATCGCCAGCTGGGCTACGCGCAGGCACGATCTTAGACTTGTCCGAGCCCTAGAGAGCCCGCGAGATCATGACCCGAGATTGCTCGAGATCGCCAGCTGGGCTACGCGCAGGCACCCTACCTTAGAGTGTCCGAGAGCCCCGAGATGGCTCGCGAGATGAAATCTCGGGTAATCTCGTTCGCAGGTCGTCCTCAACGAGTGGGTCGAGGAGCTCGACGATGCAATCACGACACGCCCGATCAGCGACCACGCGCAGCACCTGCACGACCTCCGCACTGTGCTCGAGAAGGCGCGCGCTAGACTGCGACTAGTCCTCCCATGCTAGATGTCTGCGCGCGCCTCGGCGAGATCTCGGCTGCACCTCGGCTGCATCTCGGCTGCATCCGTGCTGCATCTGTGCTGCGTCTCTGCTGCGTCTCAGCCGTATCTCGACAGCGCACGATGCTGTGGCGTCAGGTGGTTCGCGCGACGGCGCCGCTGGTGCAGGCGCTCGAGGACGGGGCTGGCCAGCCAGCAGCGACGCCGGCGCACTTGTGGCAGTCGCTGAGGGGCGAGCTGGCGGCGGTCAACTCGGAGATCCTCTCGCTGCAGACGAGGGTGGCGTCGCTGCAGCAGTACTTTCGGCAGGCGGTCGAGAGCGCCACTCGCGTGTGGTGCTCTCGGGTCATCTCGGGTCATCTCGGGTCATCTCGGGTCATCTCGGCAGGCGGTGGAGGAGCGGCACTCGCGCGTGCTGTACGTGCTCACGCTGGTGACGGCGCTCTTCGTGCCGCTCCAGTTCCTGACGGGCGTGTGGGGCATGAACTTCCGGGTCATGCCCGAGCTCGAGTGGGAGTACGGATACGAGATGTTCTGGTGCTGCGAGCTGCTCATCGCCCTGCTCGTCTTCATCTTCTTCCGCGCCTCGGGCCTCCTACAGCTGAGCTGACGCACCGCTTTTCCTTGGACTTGGAGCAGTTGGCAGCCTCACACCCAGGGCCGGGGGCTAAGAAGCGCACCCAGTTGGCCAGATGATTGGCATCGGGCTACGGGCAAGAGAGCCCTGACCCCTAGGGCTAGTTCCATTTCACTCTCTGACACGCTAATCTTGAAAACGTCCAACGGAGCTCCGTGTTGCTCCTCCAGCGCCCCCTCCCCCGCGCTTCCTGCGGCCCTAGCCGATGATACTAGCATGGGAGGTCATCTGGATACCGCGAGAGCGACCCAACTCGTCGACATCGTCCGATGATGGTGCCTCAAAGTCAGTCTTCGGAGGCTATCGTGGGGTCGAGCCGGCAGTAGCCGCGACATGTGGTTCCACCCCACCCCTCGCAGGCTTTGCCTCTAACCGCCACCGTTCCCAGGCTGCCTAATGGGATGGAAAGGAAGGCTGGGCGAGCGTATAGAAGCGTGCTCGACCTCGTCGTGGCAGCCTGCACGGCAGCGCTGGCAGGCGCCGGCGATGAGCGAACCCCTGGTCATGTGGTCAACTCACCCTCCACACCCCGCGTACTGGCGCGCGGCGCGGGCGGATGACTAGGGGAGGGAAAGCGGAGATCCTAGCTCGTTGGGAATAGGGGAGAAGTGTCAGTGTGATGGGAGGGCGTACGCCGGCGTTTTTGCCTTTGAAAACTGAACAGTTTTTTTAACTTCGTAACTCCTTGGGAGCACGAGCCGCGTGCTTTCGCGCGCGTTCTACTCCGCGCCTCGCTCGCCCTCAAAAGAGCTACAGAAGCCGCTCCGCGTCTTTCTCGCCCTCGTAGTGCTCCACGGAGCCGTCGGCAAACTCCGCGCGCACCTTCCGCTCCGCACCTTGCTCGCCCTCGAAGTGCAGCAAGGTGCCGGCACACACCGCGCGCACAAGCCGCTCCGCACCTTTCTCGCCCTCGTAGTACTGCACGATGCCGCTGGGAAACTCCTCGCGCACCACCCGCTCCGCACCTCGCTCGCCCTCGAAGTGCTCCACGGCGCCATCGGCACGCACCGCGCGCACCAGCCGGTCCGCACCTCGCTCGCCCTCGTAGTACGCAGTGCCTTCGGGCGACTCCTCGCGCACCATCCGCTCCGCACCTTTGTCACCCTCAAGTGGTGCACAGTGCCGTCGGCTGACTCCATGCGCACCAACCGCTCCGCACCTTTGTCACCCTCAAAGTGGTGCGCAGTGCCGTCGGCTAACTCCGAGCGCACCAACCGCTCCGCACCCTGCCCGCCCTCGTAGTACTGCACCTGGCCGCTGGGAAACTCTTTGCGCACTTTCCGCTCCGCGCCTCGCTCGCCCTCGAAGTGCGCCACGGCGCCGTTGGCAAACACTGAGCGCACCTTCCGCTCCGCTCCTTTCTCGCCCTCGTAGTACTTCACCAGGCCGCTATGTAAGAGACGCACCCGCAGCTTCGCGCCGTTCTCGCCGCGCCGCAGCCTCCAGACCTCGATAGGGCGCTCTCCAGCGCCCTCCTAGCGTCGGTGTAAATGTTACACACCGACGCGGCAGCGAACGCGCTGTCACGTACTCGCTGTCGTCGGCCTCGAAGCCCCACTCCTTCGCAACGTGCGGCACGGCTCCCAACGGCAGAGAGAAGCTTCTCTTCTGCCTTAGCCACGTGGTCTTCGTCACTTCGTCACTTCACAGAAAAGGTCTTCGCTCCTCGGGCGGACCAGATATCCAGTGCAGATTTGAGAGAGAGAGAGAGAGAGAGATTTAGAACCTTCTCTCAGATTTGCTGAAGTGAGTGGGGCATCCCCGGGGGAGGGGTCAAGAGAGAGAGAGAGAGAGAGAGTGAGAGAGAGAGAGAGAGAGAGAGAGACTGAGAGAGAGAGAGAGAGAGAGAGAGAGAGAGAGAGAGAGAGAGAGAGAGAGAGAGAGAGAGAGAGAGAGAGATTTAGCAATACCAAACAACTCCAACACTCGCGCGCGAGACGTGCAGACAGGGTTGCCGGGTGAGAGCGAATGGCGCGGTTCACGCCTCGCACAACAGAGAGAGAGATGCGCTCTGCATGGTGGTTTTTGGGGGGTCAAATCTGCTGAAGTCGCGCCGTGCGATTCTCGGCGAGAGATGGGCTCTCGCCTAACATATGGTGACATCGAGTGACTTCGCGTTCGTAGAGAGAGAGAGAGAGAGATTTTTAGCAATACCAAACAAATGTGAACCGCGTCGTATGCGATTGTGTTTCGTAGTGTGAACCGCGTCGTATGCGACGCTCTTGTTTCTTTCACCCTTGGTTTCTTGCCGTCGTCTCTGGGCAGGGGCCCACCCCGCACACAGCGGGTCCCCAAGCGTGAACTTGTCTCTTATCATGAACGTGAACGGGGTTGTGCGTTTATGTGAACGTGAACGGCGGTCAACCGGGGTTGTGTTTTTGTGTGAACGGCGGCCGCCCAGAAAACACGCCTCCGTGGCTCGGGTTACACCAATCCTCGCTACCCAACGCGGCCTAGGAGCGTCAGCGCCCCGCAAAATGGATTGCAGCCGCCAGACCTCCGTCCGTCCGCCGCCGGCCTTGATGGAGTACAGCCGCTGCAGGCCGCACCCCATTCCAGGCGAGCGCTGGACGCTAGCGGCATACCGGCGACAGATGGCCCACCTGGTGAAAACGGAGCAGCAGGCCGCGCTCTTGAGCGTCCGTGGCAACAGGCTCAGTGCGTGCGTGTGCGCGGGACCCAGCGGTCCTGCTGCACTCACGTCGAAGTTGGCCTTGGAGTGGCTCGTCAGCTTATGGCGGGAGGCCCTTCAGCCCGGCGCGGACTTTAGCGTGGTCGCCGCCCTGCACGACTTTGTGACGCCGCAACTTCAAGCGGCCGCGCCCGTCTATAGCATCGAGCAAGGGCCCAACCGCGTCTCGCTGCCTACTTTCAACACGTGGCGCGGCGGCTGGACGCACGAGACTCCGCGCAACTTGACGGCGCCCGGGGCCACACCGCGCGAGTGGAGCACGCGCAAGTCGCAGCTTGTGTGGCGGGGCAGTGTCGCATCATACGGCGGCGTGCGGTCGCGTCTGCTGACTATGGCGCAGCGCCACCCTCGGTGGATCGATGCGCGTGGCACGGACGGTGCCGGCGGCAGCGCGGCGCGGCTGACGCTGGCGCAGCAGGAGTCGTTCAAGTACACGATTAATATGCCGGGGCTGATCAACGCGTATGCCTGGCGCACGCCCGAGCTCTTCCTGCGTGGCTTCCTCGTCTTCCACGTGCGCGACGGGGACCTCCCCTTCTGGCGGCGCTACCCCGGTGCTTCGGCCGAGCCCGAGTTCATGTGCCAACTGCGCCCCTTCATCCACTACATCCCGCTCAACGCCTCGCTCGGCTCGCTGCTCGCGCAGCTAGAGTGGGCTATGGCGCATGATGACGTGGCGCGGGCCATCGCGCAACGCGGGCGCGCCGCGATGCTACGACTTCTCGAGCCGAGTCGCCTCGCGCACACGCTCACGTCGCGGCTTCGCGCCGCGCCATTTTTCGCGATCGGGTGCTTCGCGTGCCCCCCGCCGCACTGCAAGCGCACCCAGGCCTCGCTCGCCGCGGGAGCGCCGCTAGCAGGAGGGCCGCGGGCGGGGGTGCTGGGTGAGCCGCGTGAGCGCCCCCACGGCCAGCGTGCCGTCGATGGCGACGGCTCGCTGGACGATAAGCGCTCAAACCGTGTGGCGTGGCGGCCAGCGGCACGAGCGGTCGGAGCGTTGGGTCAAAACAGGAGCCGAAATTTACAACGACGCGTGGCGGCGAGTGCCTCGACATGAACTCTGCAAACTGGCGCCGGCTGTGCCCCGCCTCGTTTGCGCGCCGGCTGCGCCCGCTGCCGCTCGGCGGTCGACGCCAGCTCGTCTTCAGCGGCGACTCGGTGGCTGGCCAGCTCTTCGCGGGATTCGCGTGCGAGCTGGCGCCCGCCGAGCGCGCCGCCGTAGCGTGGCAGCCGTTTAACCTCTTCAACGCGCCGCTCGCGCCGCGGCTGATCACGGCGCGCCCCGCGGGGAGCGTCTTCGTCATCCTCGCCGGCACGTGGTTCCGCGTCGAGCAGATGGACGCGTACGAGGCGGCCATTGCTCAGATGCTGCGCACGCTGCGCGCGCACCCCACTCACAATTTCCTCGTGCTGAGTATCGCCGCGCAGCACTGGCGCGGTGGCAAGTACAGCGACGCCGCGCGCGACGAGTGCCTCCAGCGCGCGCACGCCCTCCCGTGCGGCGACGAGCGCAGCGCCGAGGCCATCGCCGAGTACGAGCGTCGCCTCGAGCGTCAGCTGCGCGCGACGGCCTTGACGGCCACGCCGAGGGTCAACTCGACCCCCTTCGAGCGGCGGCGGGACAACATCGCGCTCTTCTCAATGTATAACGCGACGCGCGCGTGGCACCAGCTGCACCCCGGCTGGAAGAAGAACCACAACGGCGTCGAGTGCGACTGCACTTTGCTACGAGCACAAGGCCTTCCACCCACTGGCGCAGGCGCTGCGCCGCGCGGTACTCGCGCTCGCCGCACCAAGGCGGCACGCCGACGTGCCCTAGTCATGAAAGTTCTCTCCCGCCGACTTTGACGAGTCGGCGCGCCGCGTTCGTGTGTCTGATTAGCTAAAATATGCCACAAATCTAACAGTGCGGGAGTGGCGAGTATGAACGTCGCTCAGGGCTAACAGTGGGATCTCTAATGATGAAAGAAAGAAAGAAAGAACACAGACAGCCCAAAGGAGGGATAGGAGGACGGCACGCGTCGCACTCGTATTTTTTTCGGAGGCGCTTGACGTTGTACCCCCCTCTGCTTGTCCCTCTCTCGGGCGACCGCCCAACCTCGACAAACCACTGACCTTTTTTGAGCCTCTGCCTCCGCCCCCCCGCCGACCCCCGTTCGGACGGCGTTGCACGGCGGTTACAGGCGAAGGGTGATCGAAATGTTCAACCGGCTTCTTCCCGACTGCCTGCCGTGCGCATCATCTGGCGCCGGCCGAAAGCACTCGGCGCGTCGCACAACCTGTGACGCTGCCATCACCGCCGATCGAATCCCGCGGATCATCCACCAGATGGACTTTCTCCCGTCCAAACATCGCAACCCGCTGCTTGCTCTGACAGAAAACACACATCGCTTGCACCAAGACTGGTGCGTGCACTACTGGTCGGACGAGGAGATGGGCCTCGCGGTCAACTCCATGCCGAACGACATCTTTAGCACGTACCCCTTGCTAAACATGGGCGTGATGCGGGCCGACACGGCGAGGCTGGCCATCATGTTCGCCTATGGCGGCTGGTACCTTGACACAGATATCCTGTGCGCTGGCAACCTGCCGCGGTGTCCGACTCCCGCGCCGTATTATAGACGCCCTGTGGGACGCCTGTGTAGGTGCACGCGGCCTGTTTCGGAGCTCGTCGCACCGGGCGAAGAGCTCGTGCTCGTCGAGCAGCCCTCCACGGCCATGCATGGTGGTGGCGTGGCCAACTTCCTGATGGGCTCGGCGCCGAAGCACCCGCTGTGGAATGCCACGCTGACACACATCGCGCGGCACGCGACGTCCCAGCTCCACGGGCTGCCCGGCTTGCTCTTGGCCAAGAACGCGAGCCATCGGCAGGTGCTCGCGATTACGGGCAGCCAGGCGATCACGCACGCAGTAGTAAAGCAGCCTTAATTCCAAGATCGGCCCCCTATCATCGCATGCCTACATACCTCCCCATACCTACCCACACCTACCCACACCTCACCATACCTCCCCATGCCAGGCGATCACACACGCGTGGCGCCAGCTGTCGCAGCACGGCCTTGCCGGCATGCGCGCGACGCGGCTGGTCGAGCAGGTGCCACGCTGGCTGCTGCGCCAGGTGGGACTCCCCGACAGAATTGGCGCAGGGCGGCGCAGGGCGGCGGTATACCAGCCGCCTGGGGTGTCGTCGCAGCCGACGCCAGCGTGCTACCACCTAAATATGTTCTCGTGGGGCCCGGCGTGGAGGCGCGTCGCAAACAGGCAGAAGCGGCGCACGCTCTCCTTGCGCGGCGAGACGCTCGCGGGTGCGGAGCCTCGTGACGCCGCAGTGGGAGCGCTGCGCCGCATCCCACCGAGGATGCGCACGGCCGACTCCAACACGGCGGCTGGGAAACAGGCGCTTGCGATGATGCGCAAGCAGGCGGGACGCATGCGCCGTTTCGTCCACGCCAGCGGCGCGATGCCATCGCCGCTTGGGCCGTCGCTGCCTCGGGGGCGATCGTTGCCTCGCGCGCCGTTCCACACGGACGCCAGGGGGCGGGCGCTGCAGGAGGTGCGGGGCGCGGGCATGCCCACCGGCGCTCGTTTGCCAGGGCGCAGCAACCGCGTTAGGAAGCTCGGTGGCAAGGGGACGGCTCGCGGCAAGCACGCCGGAGGTGTCGCGCGAAGCAGCCGCCGAGGCCGGTCGTCAAGGGTTGGCGGAGGCGACGGCGGTGAGGACGAGGCGGCATGCGCGTCGCTCGCGTCGCTCGGTGTGCGCTCCATCCTCTTCGTCGGCGATTCGTTCATACGTCAGCTCTTCCTCGCAACGCTGCTGCTGCTGGTGCCGCGCGGCCATTCGCCTCTCTTTCTCGCGCCCGTCACGTCGTGGGCGCCTTCGACGCGCGGAATGGCGCACTGCACGGCGCAGCAGGTCGCCACTTCAGCCGACTCGCATTGCCGCCACGACTTCGCGCGGTCCACGGCCAAGCACCTGGACGCCGTGCGACAGCGCGCGATCTGCGCCGGCCGCGTCTCGCTTGAGTTCGTATACGGCGGGATCAAGCAGACGGCGGCGACGGGCGCGGGCGACGCCGAGTTTCCTGGCATCGACGTCGCCGCACCCGCCGACTTGGTCGTGCTCGGCTACGGCATCTGGGACAGCTTTAGCACCGAGGCCGTACAGCGGCGCATACAGCGGCACCTCACAGCGGTGGAGCGGTGGCGCAGCGCGGCGCCGCGGCTCGTCTTCCTTGCGTCGGACTCGCGCCACCGCAACGACTTCGGGCGGCAGATGGACGGGCACGTCGTCGCTTTCAACAGCAAGATGGCGCGCGCGCGCGCGCGCGCGCTCTCGAATGCTCACGTCACGCATAGTCACACGCCCACCCGCTCGGCCGCAGTCACACGCCCGCCTCTCCCCCTCACCCGGCCAGCCGCGCCGCTCGCCCGCAAGCGGAAAGCACACATGCCAACTCCATGAGACAAATACTTGACTCACTCGTGAGTGCAGGCGGCCTTCTGGCGTGTGCACCCGTACCGCGACGCTCGCGGTCGCCCGCCGCTCTTTCTTTCCTTCTACGCGCTCACGAGGACCACACGGCCGTATGACGGCACTCACTACTCTCCCTCCGTCAACCACGTCAAGGCGAGGAGGCTCATCACGGCGCTCGCCGCACGCGCCGACCCCTCAGCCGTTGCTCCGCGCGTCGCCGCCACTGCCGCCTCCGTCGCCGGGTCGGCGCCTCCGGGGATGAGCCCCGGTCCAGCCGCCGAGGAAGAGGTGACGCCCTCCTCTGGGAGACTAATCGAGATTCCCCGAGATTGTCCAAGATTACTCGCGGTAGGCCTCCACGCGGACGGCAGCCTCGGCGACCCGCGACCAAACCGCCCCCACAACCACAGCGTGCTACCTGATCTCTCTGCTCGGCACTCGCGCTTCGGACTTCACGGAGGTGGAGCGGATGGCGCGCACATTGCGCCTCTTTGACGACGGCGGGCGCCACCCGCTCGTCCTCTTCCACGAGGCGAGCGTGCCGAGCGCCGTCTTCGGTGCCATCCGCAAAGCGCTGAGCTCGCACCAGCGGCTGCTGTTGCCTGCGAGGGTCGACTTCCCGCCAGGCCCGCCCGCCGCGATGGGGCCGGGCGCTCGGCCGCCAGGGGGCCTGATGACGACGCACAACCGCACGGGCTGGGGTTACTACCACATGCTCCAGTTCTTCGCCTTCGACGTCTTCCACCACTCCGCGCTGAGCGACGCGGAGTACGTGATGCGCATCGACAGCGACGCGACGATCGACGCGCGGATGCCCGACCTCTTCGCGATGGTGAGGCTGCGCGGCGCGGCCTACCTGACCCCGGTCGGCAACGCCGACTGCGGCGACATTGTCGAGGGGCTGCCCGGGCTCGCCTATGCCGCCGCAGAGATTTACGGCCTCGAGGCGCGCGTGAAGCGGCTCGTGTACCGCAAGGCGTGCAGACCGGGCACGCTGTGCGTGGATCGGGGCAAGCTGTGCGTGCTCGGCTTTTACAATAACCTCGAGGTCGTGCGCGTCGCCGACTTTATCGCACCACCGCCCGCCGCCGCGACGTTCGCCAGCGCCGTGCAGCGCTCTCTCGGCATCTACCGCCACCGCTGGGGAGACGCTATTATTCGCCGGCTGATGCTGGCGCTGATGGGCAGCAGCGTGATCTACCTCGACGAGTTGGCCCCCCGCTCCGAGTACTGCCACCGACAGTTCTGCGTGGGGGCGCGCGGCAATACGCGCACCGACAAGTTCGGCCAGGTGCATGCGTTCGAACTCGCCGTGGGCTGAAGGCTAAACGGCTGCGGGTTGTCGCCTCTTACATACTATCTCTGCTCGTCTACTGTCAGCTCTCCCGGGTTGCGGAACCGCACTTGCCGAGGCTGCGGCCGAAGCGGTGTAGGCGGACAACGATGCGGCGTGACGGGCGCGGGTGGAGTGCCGGACACGAGGACACGCTGGTGAGTGGACGGCAGGGCCTTCCATTGTTAGGACTCCTAACACGCTTCCAAGCGTGGGATTCTAGCATGGGATGCCAGCGCGCAAGGGGGTATGGGGGGAGGGGGGGGAGAGTAGTAGTGTCGTGCTTTTCGCCAAAACGCAAAAAGAAAGAGGAGACGCTGGTCGCTGCCGTCAGACGAGGGGTTGCTATCCGGTGCAAGCACGAGCGGTCGTGACGCGACGGCGTGTACCATCACACACCCCGTTGCCGAGGTTGTCGTGAAAGTGTGTTGTGGGTCCTTGCAAACTTTAGCGCTTCTCATCGTTGGACACGCACATGCACACAGCACACACCGGCGGGCGCTTTCGAGGCGAGGCGGGCGCCACAACGCCTAGGAGCACAAACAGTGAACGAGCGACACCTACGACAACAACCCGCATGGGCAACCCGCGACAACCCGCGGGTCGCGGCCAAGCAGCAAGCTGTGCTCGGTTTCGCACCGAGTCCACACCGAACTCTGACGCAGCCGGGGGGGCGCCCCTATGGCCGCCCCCGTACGCTCACCTCGGGCAGGTGCTCGGCCCCGTGGCGAAGGGGCGGTGGTTTCTGAACGTGTGCTTGAGGTCTACCCCCTGCTCGTGCCACCACTCAAGCGCGAGCGCCACGCGCGTGCCGCTCTCGAACGGCGTGACGCGGTGCTCCTGGTCCGAGCGGTAGAAGAGCGCCTCGTGCTGCGTCGGCCGCGCGCGGTGCACCACGCCGTCGCTCTCGTGCTCGAGCGCCGCGCCCGCGTACGCGCCGTCGGCCGAGAGCATCAGCAGCATCGTCACCGCCGACTGCGGGTCGATGTGCCAGCCGAGCGAGTCGGCCGGCTCGTGGTACTGCAACAGCTCGATCGTGCGCGTCGTCAGCCGATTCGCGTCCAGCCGCCCCCACGTCGCATTCGCATCAGCCTCGAGCGCCAGGCGCCGGAAGCGCGCAAAGAGCCCCGGCCGGCATAGCCCTCGTCCTTGTGGCTGCTCTCATCTACCTGAGGAAGCGGAAGGCGCGCGAGCAGGCCCGCCGCGTCATGCAAAGGCAAAGTGTGCCAGACTGAGGTTGAGCTCGCGGTCGGAGGAGGAAAGCCGAGTCGAGTCGCTGTGGAGGAGCTCAGCGTGGTCCACACCATGATGGTCCGCGGTACGACTACGAGGTGGTGGACGTGCGGCCGCGGATTTGACTGAGCGCCACCTTTTGGCGTGGCGTGCCGCTGCTTGAATTGCGCGGAGAGTGAGCTCGATTGCATGCTGTACGGAGGCGCGTGTGAGCGCGAGTGAGTGCAGTTTGAAGCATGAAAAGCAAAAAAAGACGCTCGGCCACAGCGCCTCCACACTCTCGGAAGGGGCTGTCGCGCTTTTGCCTTTTCCAACCCGCCCGGCCCCGCACGGATAAAGCCGTAACACGCACTTGCTGACTCTGCTCTCTGGCACCCACCGCCCCCTCCACGGCGGCCCGTCTCTCTGACACCCCCCCCCCCTTCCTCCGCCCCACCCCGCGGCCGCCGCCTCCCTCCGCCGCCGCCGACCTCACCTCGCGGCGGGCGGCCTCCCCTTTCGCGACGGCATGCGGAAGAGCGAGGCGGCGCCCTTGGAGGCCCTCGGTGCGGTCGCCTCGCCGAGCGGCGAGGCGGAGGGCGAGGCGGAGGAGGCGGCACCGTCGGAGAGCGCGGCGGTGGAGGCCGTGAAGCTCGCCTCGGCCAAGCCTTGCCGCAACGCGAAGATGCGACGCTCCGGCGACGGCAGCCCCTCGGCCGTCACTGCGCCCTTTGAGCCCGGCGCGGGACTCGCGCCCGCGCCCACCGAGAGGGAGGGCGCGTCGCAGCCGCCGCCCAACAAGACGCCGGATGGCTGTGCCGCCGCCTCGGCCGCCGCCGCCGCGGCAGCCGATGCCACGGCTCCCGCCGCCAGCCTCGCCGCGTAGCTCGCCCCCGTCGCGTAGCACTGCGGCGTCGCCTCGGCGGAGTAGGCGAAGGCACGAGCTCGCGCCGCCGCCGCCTGGAGGCGCAGCGACTCCACCGTCGCCTTGAGCCCCTCGACCTCCCGCTGCAGCTGCTTGACCTACAATCGGGCACCCCCCTCGGCATCCTCTCGGCTGCGCTCGAGCTGCCCCCCTCGCCCCTCCGGCTGCAGGCTGCTTCACCTCGCCGACGAGCGTGTCGCGCGTGCCATGCAGCCGCGACGACGCCTTGTACGGCCCTCCGCGCTCAAGGAATTAAGCATTCATAGCTGATACACAAATAGGCGGCGGCGCCTTGTACGGCCCTCCACGCGTCGAGATCTCCATCGCCCGCTTGAAGAGGCCTCGCGCGACGGCGCTCTCGGCCACCACCGGCCCGCGCAGCTCGATGGACAGCGACTGCTTCGAGGGGGTCCGCCCGCCTGTTCACAGCGAGGGGTGTGAAAGAGGCCTCGCTGCTGCAGCGACTGCTTCGCGGGGGTCGGGGTCGGGGTCGGGGTCGGGGTCGGGGTCGGGGTCGGGGTCGGGGTCGGGGTCGGGGTCGGCCCGCCCGCAGAGGCCACCCGCGGCTCCTTGGAGAGAGTGAGCGGCGGGATGAGGACCCGCATGAGCTCGTCCTCCTCCGCCGCCGGCGCCGCCCTCTCCACCTCCACCTCCGCCTCCGCCTCCGCCTCCGCCTCCGCCTCCGCCGCCTCCGCCTCCGCGTCCACTGCTCCCGCTCGCACCGCCCGCCGCGTGGGTGACTGTCCTCCCAGGATCGGGTCGATGGCGGACCACTTGTCGGCAGTCGAGCCCGCGCCGCCGCGCCTCGCCTCGGGCCCCTCGAGCACCTGTTATCACTCATCGACTACTTAATTACTAATTCGGCCGCGCCCCGCCTCGCCCCCCCGCTCGAGCGCCATCTCGATGGGCGAGATGTCCAGCGTGAGCTTGTGCCGCCACGAGGGCAGGCCGAGCAAGTCGGAGAGCTCGAGGAAGGGCGTGAGGATCTTGATCTCCGCACTGTGCCACCCTTCGCGCATCAGCTTGTCGATGCCGCGGTAGATGCGCCCGTGCCGCAGCCGCAGCCGCGCCGTCTCCCCTAGCTGAGACGACCACTGCGCCCCCTCGAGCGGCGCCCAAAAGTCGTCCAACGCGCGCCAAAAGGCGGGCACGTACAGCACCTTGCCCGGTGCGAGGCCGAGCGACAGCTCATGCGCCGCATCGTCTGCACCGGAGCGGAGCTGCCACACGCGCAGCGCCGGCGGAGCGCCCCCCTCCTCCGCCGAGCCGGTGAGCTCTGCCGAGGCGGCCCCAGAGCCGCGCGGCGACAGAGGCGAAACCACCGCGCCGGCGGCCGCCGCACCGACGCCCGCCAGCCACGCGCCCACCTTTTGGAGCGCCGAGCCGCCCCCCTTGACCTTCGCCAGCTCCGCCGCGCACATGTCTCCGGCGAAGTCGACGCCGCCCCCAAGGGCGAGGTCGGGGCGGGGCGGCGGGGCGCCGGAGAGGGTGATGAAGTGCGGCGAGCCGGCCGAGAGCAAGTCGACGGCGATGAGCGAGGCGAGGTAGGTGTGGGAGGCCGAGCCGAGTCCGACGACAGCGCGGCTGCGATGCCTCAGCTCGCGCGCCTCGACCCGCAACAGCTCTGTGCCGTCGCCGTCCACCGTCGCCGCCCTGCTCGCTGGCACGCGGACGGGCGCGCGGCCTCCGGAGTGCGACCCGCCTGCTGGCAATCTCGTGTCATCTCGTGTGATCTCGCGTCATCTCGGGCAATCTCGCGTCATTTCGTGTCATCTCGTGTCATCTCGGGCAATCTCGGCTCATCTCGGCTCATCTTGGGCAATCTCGGGTCATCTCGTGTCATCTCGTGTCATCGAGGGTCGCCTCGAATCGTCTTAGGAGATTTCGGGAGATCTCGGGTCCTAGCGGGAGATCTCAAGAGAGTTCGGCCGCCGGAGTGTGACCCGCCTGCGGCGGCGGCGTGCAGCGCCTCGAGCGGCGAGGCGGCGCGCAGCAGCGTCGCGCTCGCCACGTCGAGCCGGAGGTCCGAGCAGCTCGACACGTACAGGCGCGGCGCGGCGTCGAGCCGCGGGTCTGTCGGCAGCGGAGCTCCGCTCGCAAGCTCGAAATCGAGGCCGCCCTCGACCTCGTCCACGTCTCCGCCGCGCTCCGCCTCCTCCTCGACGTCCTCCGGCGCAGCCGCGCCCGCGCCGCGCCCGCGCACGCCGCAGCCGCCGCCCGCGGCGCCTCGCGTGGCGACGTGCGTCTGGGCGACCAGCCGGCACCTGGGGCAGTGGAGAGGGCGCAGAGGCGTCGGAGAGGGAGAAGAGGAGGGCGGCGGGGCGACGGGCAAGCACCACGCGAGCGTGTCATCTCGTGTCATCTCGGGAGATCTCGGGAGATCTCGGGAGATGTCGGCGCCACGCGAGCGTGTCGACAGGCAGCCGCTCCTCCGCCCGCTGCAGCGCCTCCCTCAGCTGCGGCTCCTCCTTGGCCAGAGCCTCGCGCGCGGCGCGGAGCGCCTTCGAGTCGGTCAGCGCCGCCGGCCGAAGCTTGCCCTGCCCGAGCCCGCGCTGCAGGAAGGAGACGTAGTCGCGGCGGTACGAGCGCGCTTGGCGGAGCAGCAGCACCGTGTCCGCAGGGCAGCGCGTGTTCTTGGGTCGGATGGCGAGGACGACCGCGCGCGCCGCCGCCTGCCACCGCAGCCGGGGTATAGCCGAGGGATAGCCGAGGGATAGCCGAGGTATGGCCGAGAGATAGCCGAGAGATAGCCGAGAGGGATAGCCGAGGGATAGCCGCCGCCTGCCACCGCAGCCTCGGCGGCACCACCTCGGAGCCGAGCTCGTCGATGGCCAGGCGAGAGAGCGAGCGCAGCCCGACGGCGGGCCTGGGGAGATGCCACGAGATGTGGGGAGATCTGGGGGAGAGGCGGGCCTGGGGAGATGCCACGAGATGTGGGGAGATCTGGGGGAGAGGCCACGAGATGTGGGGAGATCTGGGGGAGAGGCGGGCCTGGGGAGATGCCACGAGATGTGGGGAGATCTGGGGGAGAGGCGGGCCTGGGGAGATGCCACGAGATGTGGGGAGATCTGGGGGAGAGGCGGGCCTGGGGAGATGCCACGAGATGTGGGGAGATCTGGGGGAGAGGCGGGCCTGGGGAGATGCCACGAGATGTGGGGAGATCTGGGGGAGAGGCCACGAGATGTGGGGAGATCTGGGGGAGAGGCGGGCCTGGGGAGAGATCACGAGATGTGGGGAGATCTGGGGGAGAGGCGGGCCTGGCGACGGTGTACGCGGCCCACAGCTTGTGCGCGGACGAGAGCGCCGAGAGGGAGAGGAGAGCCGCCAGCTGCAGGTCAGTGGCGCGCATCACCAGCCGCTCCGCGTGCTGCCGCTTGACGGCAAGCGGACGGCCGTACCCGAACGCTGCGGGGGAGGAGCGGTGCGACATGTCCGAGGAGAAGGTCGCCCGCAGGCAGATCTCGCCCGACCCTTCCCCCAGGTGCCACCGCCCGGGAGAGTACAGCCGCTGCGGACCGCCGCCGCCCCCGCCGCCGCTGCCGCCGCCGCTGCCGCCGCCGCCTCCGCCGCCTCCGCCGCCCTTGTCTGCTGGAGTACCGCTGATTCTGCCTCCCGTGCTCGAGGTGAGCCGCACGAGCCACTCCGCGGCCGCCCAGCGCCCGCTCTCTCTCCCAATGCCCTCCATCGCCTCGCGGACGGCGTACGCACTGCGGATCGCCGCGGACTGACGCGCTAGCTCCGCCGCCTTGTCCGCCTTCTTCTTGCTCTTGACGTTGATCGCTTCGGCGGCGGAGGCGGCGGTGGCGGCGGCGGCGGTGGCGGCGGCGGTGGCGGCGGCCCGAGCCAGGGTCTCGGAGGCGGTGGGTGCCGCGGAGGCGGCGGCAGCGCTGTCGGGAGCGGCGGCTGTCGGCTTGTCGCCGAGGACGGAGGAGAAGGCGCCTCGCTGCCCTCCTCCAGTGTGGCAGTACAGGCCCGTCTCCCACACCTCGACCGACGTCTCCACCGACTCCTTCTCCACCTTGGTGCTCACCTCGACGCGCGGGAGGACGAGGCCGAGGCTGAAGGGAGGCGCGCCGCCGCCGCCTCGCGGCCGCTCGAGCCGCACGTGCACGCCTGCTCACACCGCCACTGCTGTGAAGACAGGCCGAGAGGGCGAGGCAACTACCTCGGCTGCACCTCGGCTGCACCTCGGCTGCACCTCGGCTGCACCTCGGCTGCACCTCGGCTGCACCTCGGCTGCACCTCGGCTGCACCTCGGCTGCACCTCGGCTGCACCTCGGCTGCACCTCGGCTATCTCTCGGCTATCTCTCGGCTATCTCTCGGCCATCTCTCGGCTATCTCTCGGCTATCTCTCGGCTATCTCTCGCCCTTGACCGAGAGGGCGAGGTTGACGTGCGAGAAGAGGCGCGCCTTGATTCGCTCGAGCAGCGTGCGCCGGCGCGGCTTCGCGTGCAGCGCCTTGAGCTTGCCCACCAGCGCCGCCACCGCCTTCTCCACCGCCGCCGCCTTGGCCGCCTTGAGGTCCTCGACGCTCCACGCGTCCGCCTCCTGCACGAGCAGCAACCGAGCTCCGAGCCGAGAGGCGCCGAGAGACGCCGAGGGGAGCCGAGAGGAGCCGAGAGGGAGCCGAGAGGAGCCGAGAGGAGCCGAGAGGTAGCCGAGAGGAGCCGAGAGTAGCAGCGGCCTGCACGAGCAGCACCGCGTTGAGCCCCTCGACCTGCAGCGTCCACTTATTATTCTTATTCGTATTCGTATTATTATTATCATATTATTAATCTTTTGTTTTTTGTTTTCAGCCCCTCGACCTGCAGCGTCCACTTGGCTTCTCGCGAGGTCATGTTCCCCCACGGGATGTCCATGTAGATGCGGCGCGACGACAGGTGCACGAGGCGCAGGGTCGAGCCCGCGTTGACCAGCGCGTCGTTGACGACGGAGGCGCGGACCTGCGCCGCGGGCCAATCAGTCGTCGATACCAACTCGTAGCTGGACAGGAGCGGGCCTGGCGGGCGGGCCAAGGCGGTGGCGCCCAAGGCGGCGCGAGTGGAGAGAGCGGGCGGCGTGGCTGCGAGGCGCGGACGCCGACTGGGTGATGCTGCGGTGGCAACCGAAGCTGGGTGGCGTGGCAGTGACGGCGGTGAGGCAGTGGCGGTGGCGGCGCGAGCGGCGGCGTTGGCGGCAGGCGCAGGACGTCCGACGCTGCGAGCGAGGCGGGCGGCGGCTCACGATGGCATTCTCGAGGCTGATGTCTGAGGATTCGTGCACGACAAAGTCGGAGCAGGCGTCACCAATGTCGGGGTGTTCGCCGACCTCGAGGAAGGGGCGGATGCGTTGGGTGACCTTGGAGTCGACGTACTCGTGCAGCTTCTTCTTGAGCAGCCCGCGTCCCATCGCGTTGCGGCGCGTTCCGGGCACTCTTCGGCCCTCCAAGGCTGCCGCCGCGTTGTCCTCCGCGCCCTCCGCGTCGGCCCCTTGTTGGCTGCGCTAGCCGCCGCCTTGTCCTTCACAGAAACAAAGAATTCGCCGCCTGGGTGTGGCGGCGCGCGGACGGTGGCGGCGGCGCGCGGACGGCGGCGGCGGCGCGGCGGCGCTGCTCCTCTGCTGCTGATGATGACAATGATGCTGCTCCTGCTGCCGCTCCCGCCCGCCAGCTGCCCGCACGCAAAGTGTCATCGTCGTCATCATCTCTTCACCTTCACACTGGTCGAGTCATAGGTGCGAGGGGCGTGGACGGCGGAGCTGGATCACACACACACACACACACCGGGGAGAGGCATTCAGTCGAGGGCAGTGAGGGTCCAGCTGGGTGGTGTAATTACTTATTTATTGAGCACTTGAGCACTTGATAGGGTCGATTCCGCATGGTACGAGACCCCTCGTGCCTCGATCGTCTCGCCCTCCCTCACTGGTGTGTTCATTAGTTAGTAATTAGGATAATAAATACTAATTATTAATCATCGGGCGGCGGCGCGGCGAGGGAGCGGGCGACGCAGGGCGGGGCGGGGCGGCGCGGCGGTGGGTGGGGTAATTAATTATTTATAAATGATTTATTAATTAATAATCATCGGGCGGCGGCGCGGCGCGGCGGCGGGCGGCGCGGAGCGGGGCGGCGCGGAGCGGGGCGGCGCGAACATCTGTATAGGCCAAAGGGTTGTGGGTTGCTCATGGAAGACGAGTCTTTAGCGTAAAACGGAGGGCGTAGCCGTAATCAGCGCTATGAAATTAGCCGGGAACGTATCTTGTAAGAGGTGTGGCGAAGATGATTTTTTTCGGGGGGGTACCCAGCCTGGACTGCGATAGCATACCTCTTTTTCTTCTCGAGCTCAGCGGGCAGCGGCGGGCAGGCAACACAGCCCGTGGGCTCGCAGTCGGCCATGGCAGAGCGACGGTGGTACGGCCTATTCCTGGCCTTAATATCGGCGGCAGCCTGTCAACCGACCATGGGCGCCTCAGCCAACGGAGCAGCAGGTGAGGGCGGCGTTGGCGGCAGCGGCGAGCAGCGGCAGCGGCGCTCTCGATAGCGCCGACGCCTCGGTCGCGGCGCTGAGCGCGAGGGAGGCGGCGGAGGCCGCGGCCCGAGACGTCGCTTCTCGACTCGAGGCTGAGGCGGCCGCCGCCGCCGCTCGGGCTCAGGAGGCGCGGGCTCGGGTCGAGGCGGAGGGGCAGGTGACGCAGGCGCTCGTCGACCATTACGTGGGCGTCGGCGAGCGGCTCAAGGTGATGGTGCGCGCGTATCAGACGCGGACGGGGTGCTTGCCGACCAGGCAATCAGACATCGGCCCCGATTACGCGCGACTTTGCAACGAGTACAACTCCCTCAAGCGGAACCACGAGGGGCTGGCGCAGGCAGCCAAGCGGGCCAGGAGCGCTGGGTCGTGAGGTGTGGCCGGCAGCGGCTCGCGCGGGTGATTTTGAGTCGCGGAATCGCGGATCTCGGTCGCCGCGCGTCTCTGCGCAGAACCCTCTGGTAGCGCGGTATGGTCGGTGGTCGAGTCTGAGGGTACTGTTATGTGAATTGAGTGTTGTGTGGCGCCCGTCCGGACTCGTGGGGCTGCTGTGAGCCGCTTGGTTCAGCGTCTAAAGGCTTTAAAGGAACCTCGGCCCACCCCTACAGCTATCCCTTTGGCCTATAATCTGCTCTGATCAGGCCTCCGGCCTTTGAGGCAGGGCAATGATCAGGCCCTCGACTCAAGCGGCTGCCTTCCACCCGTAGCTGCTCAGGCCGGGGGAGGGGGAGAGGTCTCCTGTTCCGCGGAACACGCGCGAGCAGGCCCCTCCTTGCCCGGTCTGTGATGCAGGGCGGTGGTCGTGCCATCGTCGCTTCGTACGCGCAACAACCCCGCCGCAATGGTCGCCGGCGCGCGACATTCCTAGCATGACCGTCCTCGCCGAATGCGTGCCGCCAAGGCGGGACGCACTCAGGGACGGTGCGGACGGGACGCGGCTCGAAGCGCGGCTCCCGCGGAGGCACGACTGGCATCCGTGGCGCGGGGATCGTCTTCGGAAAGTCGGGCATGGCTCTACCCGCAACTCTCTCGCTGACACGCGCACCCCGTCGACCTTACGAAGGATGGGCGCGCTGCGGTCGCACGCCCAAGTCATACGCCACGGCGTGCGATCTAGATTCAGCCCACGTGCCTCTGCTCGCATACACTCATACAATGAATTGACATCTCCCATGAGGGCGAGTTAGGGCTAGCAGTAGGCAGCTAGCCAGTGAGGGAGGGCGAGACGATCGAGGGGTCCCGTACCATGCGGAATCGACCCTATCAAGTGCTCAAGTGCTCAAGCTAGCCTGTGAGGAGAGCGTCCATAGACACCTCACATGACCCCACACACGGTCTCGCCCATGCCTTGCGGCTAGCGGTGAGATTGCTAGAGGCGGAGCAAGCCTGCTCTAGCCTCGCATGTTACTTGCTGTCGTCTGTTGTTTGTTGTGCCCTTGTTTGTTCCTTTGACACCTTGTGGAGTGCTGGGGGGGGCGGCGACAGGGAGGATGTGGCCCTGAGTTATGTGTACGCCAACTCAGGGTGTGTGGCAGCCAGCTGGCTGTGTGTCTTGTGAGCTTGTTTGTGTCTGTGTGTTGCTCGTGCGTGTCGTCATCATCTGTCCAGCGTCCACCCATGGGTTGGTGTCCAGTCCGAGCCTGGCTGTTCTTCACCTTCCTACATCATGTGCATGCACATGTTGTGTGTGTGAGTGAGTGTGTGTGTGCGTGTGTGTGTCACTCACACACACACACACTGTGTGTGTGTGTGTGTGTGTGTGTGTGTGTGTGTGTGTGTGTGTGTGTGTGTGTGTGTGTGTGTGTGTGTGTTAAAATGAACTCGGGGGCACAGGACGCGGTACAAACGGGGTACATCAAAAGGCACGGGCTGCCTGCACGGCGTTCACTCGAACGCCATGCACATGGCGCGGAGCAGCATCGGGTTGGTGTCGAACCCGAGCGGGTCCTCCTCCCAATCCCGGCGCCCACCCTCCGCGTCGTCCTGCTCATCGTGCGCGTCGAGCACCCTGCCGAGGCACAGGATCGTCCCCTTGGGAACGCCTGCCCCTCGCGGGCGCGGGAACTCTCATCCCTGCACCGCCATCACCTGCCATCACGAACTTCTCTCGCGCGCCCACTTGCCGCCACGGCGGCAGTGCTGGGGCGCGCGCTCGCGCAGCTCCTCGTAGAGCTCCTCGGCCCTCGCCACCTCCGCCGCCCAGCCCTCCGCCGACGCCTTGAGCCGACTTCTTCTCCCTGAGCGTCTTGAACACCGGCGGCGGCGTCGGCGATGGCGCCACCTCCGGCTCGCCCGCCTGTGTGTGTGTGTGTGTGTGTGTCGTGTGTGTCGTGTGTGTGTGTGTGTGTGTGTGTGTGTGTGTGTGTGTGTGTGTGTGTGTGTGTGTGTGTGTGTGTGTGTGTGTGTGTGTGTGACTCACTCACACTCACTCACTCACTCACTCACTCACACCTTCGGGTTTCTGTGCCCAGTGTTGTGCGAGGGAGTTTTGTTGTAAAATTCTTTCTTGAAGCAGCGTATCTCGGTCGTTCTTCACACGGCCATCGCAGAGCAGATTGTGAATGAGCTTGCCTGCGGCGAGGGCGGTCGAGTGCACGGAGCTAAGTGCCTCGCCGTCCTCGCGGGAGTCGCTTTTAGGCGGCTCCCGTGGTGTACCTGTGTTAGTGCCAGTGCGCGCCAGTCCCGTGCCTAGTGTCGTGCGAGGGAGTTTGGTTGTAAAATTCTTTCTTTCTTTCAGCATACTGGCACCTAGACTGGCACAACAAAAGGGCGCGGATTGAGGTAGAGCAAGCCTGCTCTAGCCTCGCATGTCACTTCCTGTTGTCTGTTGTTTGTTGTGCCTTTGTTTGTTCTCTTGGCACCTGGGAGTGCTGGGGGGGGGGGGGCGACAGGGAGGATGTGGCCTTGAATCATGTGTACGCCGACTCAGGGTGTGTGGCAGCCAGCTGGCTGTGTGTCTTGTGAGCCTGTTTGTGTCTGTGTGTCGCTCGTGCGTGTCGTCATCATCTGTCTAGCGTCCACCCATACCGCGTTGGTGTCCAGTCCGAGCCTGGCTGTTCTTCACCTTTCTACCTACCTACCTGGGCCTAGATCGAACGCACGGACAGTCGAGAAGACAGGCAGAGACCGACGATCGTGTCCCGGAAAGCAAACCTCCTGACCGCAACGGGCCGCGTCCCTTCTTGTGGTGATTTGTTCCATTCTTTTTCCCTCGATTTTGTTGAGTCGCTGTGAGACTTTGTGTTGCTAGAACTCTCTAATGTCGCGGCCAACACTGGGTTCCGGCTCCTAGCCGGATAGGTAGGTGGCCGTCTGTTGCCACTGACTCGCGCCAAAACGCCACATACATACCTACCTAATACCTACCGAAAAATGGCGAAAAAGGCGAAAATAGGGGGATTGCAATACCTATCTGGGACACAGATCCCCTACGGCCTGGGAGCCCGAACCCAGTCGCTATCCGAGCCGGGCCAGGCCTGCGAGTCAGCTACCCAGCCCCAGTACAAGATGCCCCTCCCAATGATCGGGGCTACTGACGAGGAGCTCTTCCCGGCGCTCAACCTCGTCTTCGTGGGCTACGCGTGCCTCATCTTCCTCCCGCGATGGCGCCACACTCCCGCCCTGACCCTCACCGTCGTCACGCTGTACTCCGCGATTTACGCCCTTCTCCTCGTCCATCGCCTCGCACTGTCGCCCACGCCGCTGCCACCAATCTCCTTCGATTCGCTCGACCACATAGCGGTGCTCTTCGCCGATCGCGCGGTGCTCTTCGCTGGGTGGGACCACTACATTGCCTTCGACCTCTTCGTCGCGCGCCACGTGTTGCTCGACTCGCAGGCCCGCGGCATCCCGCATCTGGTCGTAGTCGGCATCGTGCCGCTTGTACTGCTTGCGGGCCCTGCAGGCTTCGTGCTTTACATGGTGGTTGTGGTCCCACTCCACGCCGCCCTGTGTGGCGGCGTCGTGAGTGGCGAGAAGGCGGCCAAAGCGGCCTAGGGCACCGGCAAGCAACGCGCATGGCTGGTGCGTGATGTGGTGCCCGATGCGGCAGAGATATATTTGCGTGGCGCTTTCGGGATCCTCGCGACCCTGTGCGCAATGATGGTGCTGTGGATCCTGGGCCTTCCGGCCACGTGGCGTGCCGGGTGGGCTTGGCATGACCGTCTCGTGGCTGCGTGGTACGAGCGCTCGATCCAGACGTTGGGCCACTTCCCTACGCCGCTGAATCTGATTACCAAGTACAAAGGGCACTCGGTGGCACAGCTCTGCCATACCTTGCCGGGCGCGCTCTGGGCGGCCCTCATACCCTTCCAACTACACCCTGTGGCGCGGCGGCGCTTTCGGCGGGCGCATCGCCTCGGGGGCTACGTGTTCACGGGGTCGGCGTACCTGATGATGGTAGGGTTCGCATACATTGACGCGAAGGGTCTGGTCTACCTACACTCGGATTTCCCGCAGATCCACCCTGACCACAATACGACACGCTTTCCAGTGCACGTACCGCACGAGCCCGTTTTCCGGATGGTGGCTTGGTGGTTTGTGGTCACGATCTCCCTCGCGGTCTGGCACGCGGTGCATCGGCGAGTCAAAGAGCACAGGAGGTGGATGCTGCGCCACGTTGCGTCTGGCATCTGGGTCGCCGTGCAGAGGCTCGTTGTGATACTCGTCAGCTCCGCGACTCCTGCAGACCAGAAGAAGACTTTCGGCGACGGCGCACTGATCGGTGTAGCGCTGGCCTGTTCTGCGGCGGAGATCGCGGTTTGGTGCTATGAGCGCCCCGCTGGAGGTGTCAGGGGTAAGAAAGTCGTGTGATTCGACGGTGTAAGGGTGTCCTAGCACGGAAGTAGTGGGCCGTTGTCGGGGGAGTGGTTTCTTCTTATCCTGCCAGGATTCCAAACTGGCGCCGCTTGCTCATCTTTATTTTATTCTTCTAAAGAGCGTGCGGGGAGAGCGGCATTGTGCATGGTGCGGAGTGCATTGCCGTTCTTAACGGAGTCGCTTAGGCGGCTCCGGTGGTGAGCCGGTATGTGTGCCAGTCCGCGCCAGTCCGCGCCCTTGTCGTGCCAGTGTGCTGTGAGAGAGGGTTGTATTTGTGTGTCTCGCGCCTTGCGGGGGGGGAGCGGAAAGGAGGAACCTCTTCCCAAGAGCACCACTCTTGGAGCGCCGCCACTACCACCCAGAGCGCTGCAAGCAGCGCCGGGCAATGACGGCCTACCGCCCACCCAGCCCCCCCTCGGCACACCCCGGCAGCCAATGTGTGACGGCTCGAACCCGCTAAGCCATCCCGCAAGCGGGATGGCCCGCCACTCGAACCCGCAAGCGGGTGTACGAACCGCGAGCGGCTCGCACTCGTGACACGCAGGCGTCCGACAGACGGCGCCGGGGCTAGGCGACCGAAGAGGAACTACGGCAAGAACCGCACACCACCCGCTGACGTATTTAGAGAATTAAAACGTGGGGAAGGCGCTGTTTGCACAGAGTTGCCGTGTTGACCGCGTGTTGAGCGTGTTGACGCGTGTTGGCGCGTGTTGGCGGCGTGCTGCGCCGTCTTGCGCGCGTGTTGTCGGCCAAGATGCCCAAGTCGGGCAAGGGCAATGCCGCCGCGACGTCCGACGAGTCGTGGTACGACAAGCAGAAGCGAGAGAACCCCGACTTCTTGGAGAAGCGCGCCAGGGAGGCGAGAGAGGCACGCGCTGCAAAGAAGGCGGCTGCGGCTGCTCCTGCGCCGGCGCCGGCACCGACGGCAACTGACGCTGGGACCGCCATGAGCCCGGGCTTCTTCGCGCGTCACATGCCCAGCGTGTTCGGCAGCAAGGCGCCGGCCGGGAACAGTGCCGCTGGCTCGAGCTCGGCGGCAGCAGCCAACGCGGCCGACGCTGCATACGCTGTCAGCGACGACGTGCCGGCGTGCCAGCGCTGCTGGGAGCAGCTCAGCGCGAGCGAGCGCGTCACAGCTGCCACGCTCGGCTTCGTCCAGTGGTCGTGGGACGCGAGCGTCATGGACCTGGACAACGACATCGAGCCGAGGATCGACATCTACTCCAAGAAGACGCTGAGCGCTCGACGTCAACGCGCGAAGGACCTGGACCTGGCCGGCCTGCTCATCCACGAGGCTCACGCGGTCCTCGGCATGCGGCTGCACAACCCGGTCGACATGACCTCTGCGCAGCGCGAGGGACCGATCGACGACGCGGAGTTGGAGCCGTGCTTCCTCGTGCGCGGCGTCTTCGAGTCGATGGGCAATGAAGAACGCGAGCGCTACACGGCGACGCGCTGGGTGCCGCTCGAAGAGATGACCTCGCTGATGTACGACTTCGACGAGAACGAGCGCGGCGAGCTCTTCGAGAGCGACGCCGCCGGCGCCGACGCTTTCATCGAAACGGTGGCCCGCCTCGTCGAGGCGGCGCGAGTCAAAGTTGGCGCCGCGCAACGTGCAGCTTCGCCGGCGTCGCCTGGCTCGCGCTCGACGCGCAGCTCGCCAGGTGCATCCTCCGACAAGGCGCTCGGCAAGCGGAAGGCACGCAAGTAGAGACATGTGTAGCTTCCTCTTTCCTCTTCTAACCTTCCTTTTCCCTCCCCATCCCTTCCCGGCCTCCGGCCGGCGCCTGCGGCGCCGCTCTTTTTTTCTTTTTCCGGTAACACTGTAAAAAAAATGCCTAAAACGTTACTCCTGCCAATTCGCGCGCGCCCAGGTAAGGTCGCGAGACTCGCCACTCCACCTCGCAGGAACAAACAAAACAACTCATGACACTGACCGCACCCACCTCGCTCTTCCCGCACAAGCGCAACCCGCTCCACTACTACCAGAAGAAGGTCCTCGGTCGACGCTATCCCATCGCAGCGACAAAGGGAAAGCAGGCTGACAAGCTCGGCGAGACGATCGACGACCTGGGACGAACCGCCTCTTCGTCCTCCGACGACGACATCCACTCGCTGCCGCCAGATGAGGAGCAGGAGGCGGCCCGCCTGGAGTGGCGCGCGTACCATCTGCAGTCTGGCGATATCGACGAGGCGCTCGGCCTGAGCGTCACCGGCGAGGAGGAGGAGGAGGTCAAGGAAGCCGTCGCCAAGCTTGAGGCGGCGCGGCTCGAGTGGCGGGCGCACCACCTCGAGACTGGCGCGTACGGCGAGGCGCTCGATCTGAGCCTTTCGGCCGAGGAGCGGGAGGAGGTTGAGCGATCGATGCCGCCGCAGCCCACCTCAAGCTTCCACGACTACCTCGCTGACCAGACCGCCTATCTGGACAGAGGCTGGCGGATGGACGCCGGCTCGCCCACCAAGGCGGAGGAGGACCTCGCGGCGATCGGCGCCAAGATCGAGCGCTCTGACGACCTCTACATGAAGAACGAGTTTGTGCAGCTCCTCTACCCAGACCGCCCGACCTCGGGCCCGCTCCAGCTCCTCGAGCTCAAGGTGGACCGCTCCAAGCAGTGGCTGCCCTCGCCGCAGCTGCTCTTCATGCAGGCGGTCGTCGGGCTCGGCCGGTGCGCCAACGTGGACACGACCTTCGAGTTCACCGAGGGCCGCGTGCGCGAGAAGAACATCCTCAACCGCTGCGTGCCAAAGGCGATGCCAGAGGCGCTGGACCACGTCGTCGGGGGCTTCGTCTCGCCGAGCCAGGCGGTCGATGTTGCCGCCTCCAACGGCTTTCCATGCGGCTTCTTTACCGGCCGCTGGCCGCTCCCCTGCCTGCCTCCCACCGGGCAGTACGGCTCGTTGACCATCGAGTCGTGCGAGGACGGCAAGCTGAGCCTCGCGGGCTACACCAAGGCGCGCGGCCACTACATTGCGGTGCTCGACATCTCCGGGCTGGAGGGCAATCGCCAGCGCCACACGGAGTGGTGAGCTTCTGACCGATCATGCCGGGGAACCGAGAATGCCGCGAGACGCTCTGGGGGGAGCGGGTGTTCTCGGGGGGCCCAGGCAGTGAAAGTGAACCAGTGTGAAATGTGTGTGGAGTGTGGTGGGTCGTTTGCGTGTGGGCGTGGCCCTCTCGAACTCGAGGTCCGCTCCGAGGCGTGCTGCGAGCGCCTGTGTGCTTTTGAGTCGGATTTTGTCCAATGCGCTGTGAAAACTGGACGCTCGTGTGAGTCTCTCTCTCGCGCCGCTGTAGACCGCGTTTTGCCGCGCGCATCGCTATCGACTATCGTCGACATTCGAGCCCAAATCCCAAAAGACACATGCCACGCGAGTAGAACTGAACTGATCCACTGATCGACGTGAGAAAACAACACCGACGTTACAGCAGAGACCCGGCGCCTCCCGGTGCCGCCAGCTCCTCCCTAGGAACCTCCAGCTCGCAGCTGTGCCGGTGTCGCGGACGCTGCCGGTCTGCCGGTGCGCTGCGGGCGCCGCGCCGGTGGCTCCCAGCCGCTTAGACCTCCTTGAGGTAGAAGCCCTTGAACTCGTGCACCTCGCGGCTGCTGTCGTAGTGCGGCGCCGTCGACACGGCCTTCTTGGCCTTCTCGAGCGCGTCGGTGCCTGGAGAGGCGCGCGGTGGACGCGGCCATGAACGCACCTCTGCTGCGTCTCCAGGAGCATCTGGCAAGGGTGTCGGCTGGATCTCGATGTCGTCTCGGCTGCACCTCGGCTCCATCTCGGCTGCATCTCGACTGCATCCCGGCTAGATCTCGCCGAGGAACTTGACCATGTCGTCGAGGTCGTTAAAAATGTACCGGGCCTGAGTAGCAGTCCGCGAGTGGTAACCAGGCCGTTGAAGCTGCTCCGGGCTGCTGGTGGGGGCGACTGCCATTCTGCGACAGGCGCCTCTCTCTCAGAGGTGGTCCCCGCCCTGCGGTCTTGGGAGAGAGGATCTAGAGCTGGGAGCACGGGCGGCGCGGGCCGGCCCGGATGACCATGTGTCCTGTCCTTGTCCCTACTTCGGCCGGATCTCGGCCGGATCTCGGCCGCAGCTCACCGCCAGCCACCCCTCGCCAGGGCAGAAGGAGAACTCGACGTCCTTGACGCCGGTCTCGGCGCGGACGGACGCCTGCGAACTCATGCGTGTGGCGCGTCGGAGGACCTCCACACACTGCCGCACCTCAGCTGGACTCGAGTGAGCTCGACCGCATCTCGGCTCCAGGTGAGAGCGCGGCCCGATCCTGGGCGGTGTGTTATGCGCTAGCAGCGCACCGGCATGTTGCTCTCGTTGACCCACGCACGCACCTCCGTCATCTTGGTCTTGTCGAACGGGTACTGCGGGCAAGGGAGGGGAGACACATATATCGGCAGCCGGCCACAGAGCGGCGCTCACCCGCTTGCGCAGTGCCTCAACAGAGCGCGAGTGGTGCGTGGCGTGGGCGCAAGTGCTGGCGTAGGAGAGCGCGCGGCGGTGATCGCCTGAACGAAGCGCGTCATGGGCCTCGCCTCACCGGACATGTGCCGGACAGCGAGAGGCCGCAGGAGGCGCGACTGCTGCGAGGTGATCCGGGCGAGCATGCTGCTTCGAGGGCCTACCGAGGAGGCGGGTGTGGGACTTGCTGAGCAGGTTGGTGGGAGGCTTGAGGCGTGAGGCGTGAGCGGTGAGGCGTGCGGCTGCGCGGTCTGGCGCACACAGACGGGCGAATCGATCAAAGAAGAAAAACAAAACGCCCGCGTTTTCCTCGGGCTGCCACACGAGTCCCTCTTCTGTCTTCAACCGGCAACGGAACGGCACGAGCGGCCACGCGCAACGCCGGAGCAACGCCGCAAGCGCAAGCAGCTCGCAAGCTCGCGGCTCACAAGCTCTCAAAAGCTCTAGCGTGTCGCCAGCGGTGAAGCCCACGGCTAGTGCTCCTCCTCGGCTCCTCGCCGCCTCGCACTCACGCCTTGCCTACTCACGGCCCCGGCGCCCACGCCTCGACCTTCTTGGGCAGCAGCTGGTTCGACAGGTCCTCTCCGTGGCCTAGGCAGCCGTCGTCGCCCCCACCCCAAGTAAAGATGGTGCCATCGGGAGTGGTGGCGAGGCTGTTGTACGCTCCAGCCGACACAGCGACGGCGCGCTGGCCCGCCAAGGCCTCGATCTTCTTCGGCAGCAGCTGGCGCTGCTGGTCGCCGTGGCCCAGCTTGCCAAAACTTCCACTGCCCCAGCTCCAGACGGCGCCGTCGGCGGTGAGGGCGAGGCTGTGCATGAGTCCAGCCGACACAGCGACGAAGCGCCGCCCAGCAAAGGCCTCGACCTTCTTGGGCAGCAGCTGGGCCTGCTGGTCGCCGTGGCCCAACCGGCCCCAGCTTCCATAGCCCCAGCTCCAGACGGCGCCGTCGGCGGTGGTGGCGAGGCTGTGGTCGCTTCCAGCCGACACGGCGACGACGCGCTGATCAGCAAAGGCCTCGACTTTCTTCGGCAGCAGCTGCTCCTGCGTGTCGCCGTGGCCCAGCTTGCCAAAGTGTCCACCGCCCCAGGTAAAGACGGCGCCGACGGCGGTAATGGCGATGCTGTGCACATCTCCTACCGACACGGTGACGACGCGCTGGCCAGCCAAGGCCTCGACCTTCTTGGGCAGCAGCTGTGGCTGCGTGTCGCCGTGGCCCAACCGGCCTCCGTATCCGTAGCCCCAGCTCCAGACGGCGCTGTCGGTGGTGAGGGCACAACTGTGGCGGGTTCCAACCGACACAGCGACGACGCGCTGGCCCGCCAACGCCTCGACCTTCTGTGGCTGCCACTGGTGCTGCTCATCGCCGTGGCCCAACTGGCCAAAGCTGCCGCTGCCCCAGCTCCAGACCTCTCCGCCGGCGGTGAGGGCGAGGCTGTGTGCGGCTCCAGCCGACACACTCATGGCAGGGAGAGAAGACGGGAGGCGGGTCGGCGTGTTGAGCCGCGTCACGCCCTCGCCGTGGCCGAGCAGCGCTTGATGTATGGACGCTTTGCCGCACGACGAGAGCCGCCCCTCGCCGTCGATGAAGACGCTGTGATACTGGCCTGCCGCCGCCCTCGCCGGCGGGTTGGACTCGCACAGCAGCGCCGAATAGCACAGCCACCGCACGGCACAGCTCTCGCCCTCTGGCGGCGCCAGCAGCTCGAAGCCGCGCTCTTGCGCCCACAAGCGGATGCCCTCCAGCGCCAGCGAGGCGTGGAAGAGCAGCGAGACGGCCGCGACGCGAGCGATGTCGGCGGGGTCGCAGCGAGAGAAGACGCGGACGAGGAGGTCCGTGGGGAGGTCGAGGAGGCGGGTGGGCGGCGGCGAGCTTGGCGAGGGGGCGGCGGTGGCGGCGGGGGCGAGGCGGCGCGAGCGGCGGCGCGGCGGGGCAGACATCGCGAGAAAAGAAAACCGGGGCCGTGTTCCGTGGGACTATTATTAAAATGAAATCGGGGCCACGGGACGCAATAGCAGCCCCCACCCCTACAGAGCTGAACCTGTATCAGCCCTTGTAGCCAATGTCGCAAAAAATCGAAGCGGCGGAAGCCAGCGAGCCCCCGCCCTCGACCGAGGGCCTCCGGGGAGCCGGCCCCCCCGCGGAGGGCACGTTCACCACCGAGAGCGACGGCGGCACAAGCTCTCCACCCGCCGCCGATTGCTCCTGCGCAGACAGTCGCGGCGCTCCGCTGTCGGTGGCAGAGCAACAGCTGGCGCCAGCAGCCACGCCTGGCGCCGGGGCGGGCGCCTCGCTGGAGCGTGACGGGGGCGGGGCAGGCGCCCCGAGCCGGCCGCCCCAGGATGTCGACGCGGCTGGCTTGACCGACCCCGCGGCGGCGGCCGCGGTCGCGGGCGACTCTTCGACAGCGCAGGCGGAGGTGGAAGGGCCGGCGAGGGCGGAGGCGGCGATCGCCGCACAGGCGCAGCCGATGCGGACCGTGGGGGGCGGGGTGGAGCCCACGGGCGCCGCGAATTCCCCTGCCGAGGCGGTGTCGCCGTCGGCGTCGCCAATGGCCGTGGCGGCGGCGGCGACGGCGGCGGCGACGGTTGCTGCAGTTGCCGCCACAGCGGTGTTCGCGGCGGCACCGACGGGGGGGCTGGGAGCGGAGGCGGGCCAGGGCGGGGCGGAGGGGGGGGCGGGGGCAGAGGCGGCGGGGGCCGAGGGAGGGGAGGCGAGGGAGGAGGAGATGTCAGAGGCGGGGGAGGAGGAGGCGAAGGACGTGGAGATGGAGGAGGCTGGGGGCGGGGGGGGCGGCGAGGCAAGCGAGGGGGGCAAGGGCGGGCAGGAGGCGGGCGCGGCGGCGGAGGCGGCAGCGAGGGCGCCGGCCGGAGCGGCGAGGCTGGCGGCAGAGGCGGCTGCAGCGTCGGTGGCGGTGGCGGTGGCA